GTTCTACTTATAAAGTGTTCGAAATCACCTCGTCGACATTGAAGACAGATTTGCATCATTTGCGCAAAATTGCCGATTACTCACACGCACTCCCCTACAGGTATTTCCTGCATTTGCAGCCTTCTGTTCAACAAGTGTTTAAGGATTGTTGCGATAAATATTGACTTTCGAATGTGGTCGAACGATCCAGTCAAAAGCAGTCTTCTCATTTGGTAACACAAAATAGTGATAAAACTGTGTAACACACATATTGTTCCTGGCTTCTTATCATTATTTTATCATTGGTTACACCCCAAAACTGATGAAAAATTGCATTAATTTTTTTTTATTTTGGTTTTTTAAAAAAGGTTTTTTTTCCCTACCTGTTGTTTTAGGGATATAAAACAGCGTAAAACTTTCATTGGTGCTATTTTTTGTGTTTTTGATATTCCAGAGATGTGTTCCGTGTATTCTATGGGAAAAATCCTAAAAAAATGAATACAAACCCATTTTGAATAACGTTTTAGTGACAAAAAGGTTTTAAATTGAACAGAAAATTACTTTTTTTTTATTTCGATCTATTGTTGACGTCCATTTCAAGAATAGGTCCCCATATGTAGTCACCATCGTTGTACTGTCATTGGTAACGGACATTTACAATTCAATTATTTATGCGGCGATAGTGTCAAAAATGGGCAAATGTGCCGCTTCGTCACAATATTGCGACATAACCGGATTGTAAACGTCCTCACCATTGACAGTACGGTGACTGTGAGTGAACAATGATTGACTACATATGGGGTCCTATTCGTGAAATCGACTTGAACCAGTTGGAAATTTTCGATTAATTCTGAGTGAGTTCAGTCGCGAAAAAGTCATTAAAAACATGTTCATATTTTCTCTCGTTACACTGTGTAATAGACACCAGATATGGTATAACAATCGTTGTGTATAAACTCCTGAGTTTACTAAAAAGATATATCTCTGATTCATCGCTATTCTTCAAACAGTCATAGTAAGCATTTTACTCAAATGTATATGAGTTTGAGATTCACCAATGTACACGGAAGTTCAGAGTTGGCATGAGTTTGAATTGAGTTGACCGCTGTTTTTAGAAATGAGTAGTCTGAAATGATTACGACAAGTACAAATATTGTACATCACTTCAGTCATCATGTTGGGGCTTCAAGTAGACTATTTTCAGAATTTAGATTAGGGCGGGCTTAATTCAGGATTGCAGTTTATCATTGTTCGTTTTATTATCCGCCATTTTAATTACTAAATTTTAAGCCAGTCGATTCAATTTTATTGAACAAACATGAAATAGTAATTTAGTAATAAAAGCTGTGAATCATTTGGGAACGTTCTGGTTCTCGGAAAGAGACTTTCACATTCTTGACAATATTTTAAATAATAACTTGAATAAAAGGTACTTAAAATTGCATTGGAGAATGTATATGACATTAAAACTGGTATTACCCAAATATTTAATTTAAATATTGTATTAATTTTTTGTAACTTTAATTTTCTGTTTTTTTTACTGTTGGTAAGATGCTGTATTATAGAAATATATAGAAGAAAGTCCAAGATCAACTCTTTAATTCGACCATGAATTGCACAAACAACGTAACGGAAGCTATAAATGAAGATACCAACGAGAAATTTTACGCGGATGTATTCATTGCAATAGCCTTGGTTTACTTTAGTTTCTGTCAGATCTATGTTCTTGTCCGCAAAAAGCTGTATAAATTTCATCTTGAAAAACTATCACACATTTTGTTGATATCGAATCTTCGATCTATAATGAGTCTATCACTTGTGGCATGTTGCTTTATTGCATTAGCTAAGATGGTGGCAGTTTTTATGTTTTATCAGAAGAAAAATAGTGCCACATATATACCCGATGTTATTTTAACCGGGTGGTCATTTACATCAGTGTATTTTATATTGTGGCTTCGTCAAACGATATTTTACACAGAACCATCACTGGATTATCTCTCATCGAGACCAATGCGATACTTCAGTCAATTTCAAGGATTTTTCATATTGATTTACAGTGTATGTTTGAGCGTTCCGATTGCATATTATGGTATCCGAAGAAATATTATAACAGTAAAATGTATACCTCGCTGGACGACGATAGCGTTGTTATTTTATCAAATTGAAACACAAATTTCGACTCTCGCGCTATTTTTAATTCCATTATTTCGTCACAAAAAAATCACGAAACATTCTATTCGAAGTCGGAGAGTCCAAAGACGCTCTATTGCATTACTTAAGAGATCACTGGTGATTACTCCTATAACCATCGTAAGTGATATTATTGCTTTTATTATTTTATTAAAGTTCGGACTATCTGTGATTTACAATTTTAATGTTCTCTTAAATTTGTGTTGTCTACTTTTTTGTTTCAATGACTGGAAGGAGAGAATTCTTCCGTGTTTTTATTCATGCAGCACAAAAAGCAGTAGAAGCGTGGAAACTAGTTCGGCAATCACTGATGCAAAAACGGCTGAATCAACAGTGTAGATGAGCTGTTCAGTTTAATCGTAAATATTTAATTAGTTATCAATTTAACAACGCGATAACGAAGGATGAAGCAGATATCATATACATGCCTTATTATGTGTCGCACTCAGTACTAGTTTTCACCTTTCGATATTGCAGATGGAGCGGGGTAAAATAGAAATATATATGATATTCAGAATAATGAAGCTTTTCTATAAGATATGCTTTGGAATGTTAGGAGGTTGACATTTTCGTGTAAACCATTTTACAATTAATATATAGAATATGAATTTTTTTAGTGGTAACTGAAATTCATTTTTTCTATTTGTTGATTTTTCATGAGTGTAATAAAGCTGTACAAAGCAATGTCTGTTTCATATTCAATGAGAGTCATAAGTAACAAATTCCAAAAATAGATTGTTACAGATGCGTCATCACGCAATCTATTGTTCAGCTTATAGAGAAGACCAATGGCACACCACATCGTTGAATTAGGATAAGAAACGTACATACATAAAATTTGCGTATGGTATTTGCCTCTTATACGATACTGCTCCACAATTTGTCAGTGTAGCCTGCATGGACGTTAACAGTCGAATCCGGCGCGCATTGCAACTGCCCACCAGTGAGCAACGTCTGCAAATTTTTGACATTCCACTACCATCATCATATTAAAAATGATTGCCAAGACCTTCGCCAAGCAATCAAAATCAAGTCACCTTCGAACGATTTTATGGTTTCAGAGGTCGTTTCCGACGGGATGAGAAAGCGTTTGTGCGATCACTGGGAAATTTTTTCGAGTAGTTGGTGGAGGGATGATACCGATGCTGGACGTGGTACTGAATACCGATATTTTTAACCCGCGATGTCAAGATAGTTGATTCCAAATAATCGCCTAATCGCATCTAGCCTGTTACAAGAGCAATTGAGGATTAGTATTCAGACCATGTTCATTTCAGCTATGAAATCTTAGTAAAATACGAGGTTTTGCACAAATTGCAGATAACTATTTTTTGTGGCTACATTTTACTGAGTGCTCAGTTTAAGTAATTTCCACATTCAAAGGCCAACATAATATACTTGTAAAATGTTTAATATGTACATATATATCATATTTATAATGTGAAAAAGTATTGTAATAGTGGAGTTAGTAGACATAAAGATTGCTTCCGGTATCTGAAAAGGGGTTTAGATATGTCTGAAAGTAACCTACTTGGCACATTAATTGACTTTTGACCGCTTTTTGTCTATTTGTCACTATAATCGCAAAGGAACATCGAATTATGATACCCATCGAGTCAACAATACTGCCGTTTTTGGTGGTGTTTACCTTTTCAATAAACAGATTCTCATGCCCGAGTCGGATTATGAGACAAAACTGTCTTATGGGAATAGCCAAGAACGTATATATATTCTTGCTAGGTTTGTTTATTTGTTAGAGGATGGCTCCTCTGTTGTCACGCGACGACTTAATTAAGGCTACTGTAGCGCCTCGCCTGCTCTATTCCCCAAGTCTCTGTAAGACACATCAACGATGCAAAGTCTTAATTGTCAACGATACAATAGAATGATCCAACCGGATAGGATATGATACAAATAGGATAATTAAAACAGTGAATAGTGATCTTATATAGAAAATAAGCATGTACAGAAATGTCCTAATCAAGTGTGTTGCAAACATGAATTGTATTAAAACTGATTCGTTATTGTGATATGGCTTGGGGCTACTTAAATTAATTATGTCCAGTTACAGAACTTGTTTTGGAGGTCTATAATTTTAGGAAATTCTGAATTATCTGGTTTTACGACGATTCATAATATTACTTTGAAAAAACATATAAAATCTAACTAAAAACTAACTAAGGTTATTCCTATACGACTTTGTTTAGTTGGCTTGTAAGCCGTTTGCATTTAATAGGATTAAGATGTATAATGACTTCAATGCCTAGCTAATGACTGCGTTTTTTTTCAATTATTCTGAGCCACGCATGATGCAGACCAAAAGAACCTTTTTAGAGTATTATTTTTCAAACGCCATGAATGGACCTCGTGTCTTAGAGCTATGTCTCATTTCATAGCAATATGCGAAAGAGTGCCGGTAGCTTGGTGTAATGTAATCTCGTAACCTACGTCTGTGCTTACGCTAACCGCTCTAAAGTTGATTGAAATGTAGTCATGATGCTTAGATAGGCTACAATCCATGTATATGATGATTAAAAGAATGAATAAATGCATGCTAACTAGCTTTGTGGACGTGAGTTGTATATATAGTAGTACATACACGCAAGTGGGTAAAAATTGTGAGTGTAGATAATGCCACTTCGCAGTGGTTATGAAGCATAATTTGTGTAGTAATATTACGTACTTATCCGTAACAAACGCCATAAAACGACACTCGACGACGCATTCGCTATAAACAGTAAATGGTGTGTGTAATCAACCCGTTGGACCTAAGGAGCTATTGGGGGGTGAAATTGGAAACTTCTCAACAATTGTCAAATTTTCTTGCTGCTGTCAGGGAAAAGAAACATCAGTCTGGACAGGTGACAGAAAAACCAAGCTAAAAATTTTCATCCAAATCGATCAAGCCGTTTTGGCGCTAAACCTGGACAAAGAGACAGACATATAGAACGATCGAGAAATAGGGTTCACCTAAAGCGGAGCGGAGATCCAATAAACTGCTCGGCTGTTTTCGGAAAAACCGTAATTTCATATGAACATTCACTTGACGATTGATTTCTGTGACCTTATATTTGAGGATTGTTGTTGTCGTTATATGTTTTATGGCGCTTATAACTTCATGTCATCGTGTTATTACAAATACCGTTTTGCGAATTTATCGAAAATGAAAGTAACATTAACACAGCGTTCTCAGCTATGCCCTGAAGGAATACTCTGTCGTAATGCTTCTTGAATTAAAAAAAAATTCATGTTTTTTTGCCTTATATTTCTCTTAAATTACTATAAAACGACACGGTTCCAGTTCACACTATGAATTTTCTTTGTGTACAAATTAACAAATGCATAGACGCCTCGGGTGCAGTGTGAGAAAATTCACGTTAAACGCGTTACTTGGACAAACCGTCGTCATAGAAAAATAATCTTTAATCGCAAACAAAAATCTTTGTTTGAGATGAAACCAGGAAGGATTTTTAATCATGCGATTCCGAAATAATCTATGTTGGTGACTTCAACGCAAAGTTTATTAAACAATTGCCTGCTACTTCTACCAATCTATCAAAAGTTAGTTAGCTTGATTAAAATATTGCAACCTTAATTATCTTTACATTTCATATGCAGAAAATGAAGTTGTACTATCATAATTTTAGTCCCCCCAGTATGGGAGTCTTGTTCACCCTCAACCAATTGGAAGTTAAATACGAACCTTAATTTCTGGACGTCGTCGTAAAACTTGACCAGCTGAAGGAAGATTTTCTAAAAATAAATCCACTCGGAAAAGTTCCTGTACTAAAAGATGAAAGCTTTTGTTTAACTGAAAGGTAGTATTAGTACATAAATGAAAGTTATCAAAAGACTAGGAACGTAATTGAACAATTTCATGGCGCGTCATTTGGAGAAGGCATTAGACAAGCAATGGATAACAGGTTAAAAATCAGAAATATTTCAGATCTACATCTGGTTGAGGGGGTGGGTGCGAACATGGAGATTGATTCCGATATTTTAAACCCTCAATGTCAAGATAGGTAAATCCAATTCTTTATCACACCTAGCCTGTTACAGGAACAGGATGAAGCTTTGTATTTAGCCAATGTTCATTTCAGCTTCAAAGTCTTAGTAGAAAGTTTTAACAGAAATACAGGGAATTAATAGTTGTCTCAATTGTATTTTGGTCAAATGGGATTAGATTAGAAAGCTCTGAATATCTAAATTAAATACAGTTCAGCCATATAATGAACAAATGATTAATGATCATATTTATTTTAATTTTTTACAAGTATTTATATTTATGATGATGTTTTTTATTCCGCAGTCACGCCATTGCCCAGTATGTCTGTCTCAAATATGAAGAAGATTACAAGTCGCAAAAATTATATCCGACAGATTTGCAGAATCAAGCAAAAGTCAATTCGCTCATGTATCTTGAATCAAATTGCTTTTCAAAAATCTACAATTACGTGGTAAGTGTTTTTAATTGCAACACTGACGATGCTGGTAATATTGTTTTCAAAACTGAAATCTTTAAATGCAAATTTTTGAGACAAGCAAAGCTAAATTTGAAACAAATTTCAGCTTTCTCATAGTATTATTTTAAATACTTGTAATATGTAATTGTACTTTCAATTTTATTTTTATTAATTATCACCTCACTTTGTAGCACTTAGGACTGTGGTTGAGTGATCAACCACCAAGAAAAGACAGATTGAATGATGTTTATTCGAGTTTGAATAGTTTGGAAACAATACTTGAGCGAAGCAAATTTCTTGCCGATGAACATCCAACATTGCCAGGTGAACACAGAATTTCAGCTTTTGGAATAAGCATTTATTTATTTTTATTCGTCAGATCTCAGCCTAGTGTCTGATATTAAACTTTCAGATTTGTTTGCTATTGCAACAGTCAACTTGCTCGATGTGGCAAAATTCAATGACTACCAGAAATATCCCCATCTTGTGGCGTGGAAACAAAGAATGCAGCAACTTCCACATTACGAAGAAAGCGTTGGGAAGCACTTTCGAGTGATAAATGATTTCTATCAGTCGAAAGCTTATTTAAACCTTCCTAAAAATGATTATTGGGGCATAAAATAATGTGCAGATAACGCTATCTTTAAAGGTATTGTACGGACTGACAATGCTCATCAATCAATGATAATATTCAACACAATATCTCCTCAATGGATACAGTATAATATACTTTCGTTGTGAAAATTAAATTTCCCACAATGTTTTCTATAGCGTGATTCTACATCTAACTCTTGGCGGCAGTGAAGCAGAGATAGGAGAAATTTATTATTTCGTCAACCAGAAAAAAAGCATTGCATCAATAAAAAAATGTACCACAACATACGCAAAGTTTTCCGGTATAGACTGTGGGACGTAACGACCACGCGGTCATCAGAGTCAGCTTCCCCCAATCAGGATCGTCAGACGATTGTCCACTCAAATTTATGTTTGTTGCAACATAATTGTTAGAGAGTAAAATTAACTTGAAGGCTGGTTACATACTCTTTACAATTCTGCAACAGTGACTCGTATACAACCAACTTCGTATAGGCAGATGATCTGAATTTGAACGAAAAGATACGCTTAGTAAGCACGAGTATTGCTATGAAGTTGGCGTACGCTTAAACGCCTGTAACGCCGAAGCAGACCACAATGGTAGGCTACTAGACTACCTGTAGTCTGACCACCAGATTACTGAGACGTGATCACGGAACCACGGTACAGTGCACAATTTTCAATTTTGATGTGAAAAACGATTATCATGGAATACATTGATATTTTTGAAATAAACAATTGTCTTCTAACGATAACAACGAGCTTTAACCAATGACAATGTCAAGGCAATTGGTCCAACAGTTGAAGGGAAAGACGACTCTTTTACAACAACAACAACAACGTGATACATAGGTTCACTTCATTTTCGATAAATAGTAAAGATTTCAATGAAGGTATAACTATTAATCAATATTATCAGACGAGTTGATTTAAAATTGCTTTTACAAATTAATTTGTCACAATTAAATTGGGAAGAATGTAAGAATAAATAGTAGCGAATATCTAGATAACAACACGCATTCCTAATGAACGGAAATTTCCGTGACAAAGTTTCACATTAATCTGACGGACGGCGAGATAATTACGGTAACAATCGAAAATTAGGATTGTTGAAAGGACTCGGGGCGGCATTTCAATTTTTTTATTCAAATATCTTATATCTTAATTATCATATATCTATATAATAAGATAAAATAAAGTCTACACTCTACATATATGGCCACGGTGAGGAAATCTTATAATTCATTTTGTAATTCTTTTTACAATATCTGAACCATGCTGTTGTCAAAAATGGGACTAGAGGAACAGGGTGGGACAAGTGTAAAGAAATGGGACAAATGTGAGACAGGCGTTGTAATATCATATATATCTGATAACCCAACTGTTTCTGTAGAGACCTTATACGTGACGTTTCAAAAAAATTTGGGGATGAAAGATAAAATAATCGTCACGGATCATCGATCGTTGTCTAATGAAAATTGATTAACAAGTTTCAAATAGTAAGCCTGACCGCTGTGAATGAACGCAAAAAATAAAAATAAGGACCGTGCTTTGCAGTTTCGACCTTTTTGCCGTGTCATGTTAGGGCATCACTCTCTAGCTGAGTGATGCGATTCCAAGAAAGGCAATGTGGGGTAAAGTCAATGAATATCAATTTGGATTTGTTGAAAAATACCTAAACGAAGAAATACATCTGAAAAATTTATACTGATCAGGCGACAGACAATTTGTCCAGCTATAATAAAAATTATCTTATGAATTAATACTTTTACTCTCTAACTTAGTGCAAACTGGACGATTATTATCCAGCTACGAGGTATTTTAATTAAGATAGGTGGTAAGCCCAATGAACTCGTTAGTATAATCGTGGAAAAGATAACAAATTTCCATACATGGCTGGGTCGAGAATATCAATTTATGATCTAGACTGTAGGTGTAGGATATATTCCTTTTCAGAACAAAGCTACGCACAGTCCGTATGGTAAGTAATAAATCTAAAAACCATACATGTACATTGTATAAGAGAAATATTTTCAGGCGATAAATGATGGAGTGTGTTTAAATGTAGCGTTGCATGTGTGCAGGACAAATTCCTTGTTGTGTCCTATTTTTGTTTTTTTTTGGCAGAAAAATGAAATCGAGGATTCTATGACTAGATAAATTCTCTAGCGTTACAAGATACGATATGATATATTTCTTTTACAATCTGCAAGCACGCATTGTTTTTTTGTTTTTGAATATTTCCGGTGTATAGCAACAATGTGCAAATCAATTTGCACGATGCCATAAATGTCTAGACGCAAGAGCAAAACCTGATCGACGAGAAAACATTTCAGAGACACTTCAATTGAGATCTTCTTTATTTCTTATATATACTTGAAAATTCTCGTATTCATAGACGTATTCCAAGTCAAAAGAACGGGAGATTTTATATGCTAGAGCGATAGACAGAGATTTATTGTTACAGATGTTTCCAACATTATGAGTAATATTATTCGATGCTTTCACGAGACAGGGTGTCGGCTTGCGAATGGGTACTAGAAGACAGCGGAGAGTTAATGGACGGGTATCTGTTTATTTATATTGGTACATGTGATAATTTCTTATACCATCTGGACAAACTGTCACCTGGTAATGTGGATTGTACAGCAATCAACTTATGATCGAAACTGGAGCATATATGCCCATTTTCAAACATTGGCACCAATCCACAGTTCTCTTGTCAAGTAATAAATCAGGAATATATACATGTATATTTGTATATTATATTAAATAATAGAAACGTTATTAGACAACAAGTAATTGAATGCTCATGTGTTCGAAAGTAGCGTGACATGTGTGCAGGACAAATTCCTTGTGTTGTTCTATTTTAGTTTATTGGCAGACAAATAAATTTTGTGATCAAATAAATTTTTTAGTGTTCAAAGATACGATACATTTGATTGCCAATCCGGTGTGTGTAAGCTAAAACGTGCAAATCAATTTCACGTTTTATAATTGAATGCAATCATGCTGTCATAAATGATTACACGCTAGCGAAATAACATCAGATTTTTGTAAAACTACATCATAGAAGATTGAGTACTAGCTAGGCATTTGTAATGTTGCCACAATATTATCGGTTTGATTCAATGAAATGAATTTTGTGAGATAACTTGGTTGCAACTCAAGATCAACTTGATCTAAGAAAATATACTTATAGACAGTCTTTTTTTAGCATAAATCATAAAACATATCGTACTACTGATACCGCCTAAATAAAACCAAATATTCTCTCAGTAGCTAGCTTAGAATACTGCAACCTCGAGATTATACGCAGAAGATGGAGTTCTACTACCATCCTTTTAGTTCACCTTGCATGGGAGTCTGGTTCACTCTCAACCAATTGGGCGTAAACTTTGAACTTAAATTTGTCGACCTAATTACGGAAGTTGACCAGCGAAAGGAAGAATTTTTGAAAATGAATCCACTTGGAAAAGTTCCTGTACTTAAAGATGGAGATTTTTGTTTGAACGAAAGGTGAAATATTTATTGCAGTGGAATATATTTATCCTATGCTGAAGCACTTTAACGGCTAGGCCATTGCGACGGCGCCATGGTACAAATGGTATGAGTTATATCCAACGTTAATCTCAAACGAAACCGTAACAGCCTCATCAAAATCCAGCCCACCAACTCATATATAAATTTTCTTAGTATATCTATTTGAGCTTAGCTTTTTATATTCTGCAGTCACGCCATTGCTCAGTATTTATGTCTAAAATATGAAGCGGATGATACAGCTCAAAAGTTATATCCGAAAGATTTGCAGAATCAAGCAAAAGTTAATTCGCTTATGTATCTCGAATCTGATTGCCTTTCAAAAATCTACAATTACGTGGTAAGTTTTTGTAATTTCAACATGATAATATTATATTGATTGAAAAATAAATTTTAAACACGAATTTATGTTACATTTCTATCTACACTGATTGCATTTTTATTATGCATGCAACTATATGACTATGTAGAATTTACAGCATAACAAAAAGCTTCAAATTCAGGACACGGATAATTTTGATGTTTCAACTCATAGTATTACTGTGGAGAAATTTTTAAGTAAATCATGAAAAGTCAGTTCAACTTTAGATTAATTTAACGCCTTCTCCCTCAGCGATATCTTAAATGCTTGTAATATGGTGTGAAGTCTTCGCAAATTTTAGTATTAGCTAACTCCACTTTTTGTAGAACTTGACCCTCTGGGCGCGTGATCAACCACCAAGGAAAGACAGATTGAATGATGTTTATTCGAGTTTGAATAGTTTGGAAACAATACTTGAGCGAAGCAAATTTTTGGCCAATGAACATCCCACATTGCCAGGTGAATAATCAGCAATATTGATTTATCCGTCCCATTTTACTTTATTTTATGTTATGTCTAGTATTAACTGATGCTCAAAACTTATATTTTAATTTTTCCTGGAAAAGGTCGACTAATGAGAGTTTCATGCATTTTGAATAAGTTGTTTTGAGAATAAACAGAATATAATATAAAATGTGTCAAATTATCTTCGCAATCAATAGTTAAGTATTCTGAAAGAATTCTCTGATAATATAATTTCGAGCTAAATAAAAATTTCCTTTTTTTTCCTCAATACATGGCCAATATACCTAATCCATAAGCCAATATACCAAACAACGTTATACTAATTTCATCAAATCAATACGTCACATTAACAGAACCCATTAATCCATTAACAGAACCCTACAGAACTTTTGATCTTCGTCTCTTGAAACTATTCAGTCCAGTCATAAGACATAATGGGGCAAAGTTCTGGTTCTTTTTATTTTTGTTATCATTGAATGTCACTTTATTTTTTTATGTTAAATTTCCAGATCTGTTTGCTATTGCAACAGTCAACTTGCTTGATGTGGCAAAATTCAATGACTATCAGAAATATCCCAATCTTGTGGCGTGGAAACAAAGAATGCAGCAACTTCCACATTATGAAGAGAGCGTTGGAAAGCACATTCCAGCCATTACTGATTTTTTCCAGTCAAAAGCCTATTTAAATTTGCCGAAAAATGACTACTGGGGCATAAAATAATGTGGAAATATATATGTATTTTTAGTGATATGAAAGAATCATTGTCAAGGGCATCATTGCTAAGAATAAATGGTGATATCTATTAACACAATATTCCGTTCATTATTCGATGAGAACGCTGTGTGTTGTTCAAATTTTATCTTCCACACTTGTTTCTATTGCGTTGTTTGCAGGCATCTTGTGACATCGACATTGAGACAATCAGAATTTTGACTTGTCTGACGAGTGAACTTTCGCCCTTGTTAAAACATTCATTACTATCTCGTAACAATGACTTGTATAGCGCCAAGCTCGTTTTATCAATATCTCTCAGAGTAATATTTTAGAAATTTCGGCTAAAGGTGCCGCGGATCTTCGTTTAATAATTCTTGATGTGGCGACAAATAATACATCAGTTACACAATAAGCCAATGGGAATTAAACGTGTTTTTTCCATCCAGCCTCAAATGACGTTAGTTTTATCAGTTTTATCGTATCAATAAGCTACTTATAGTTTTCTCTGTTGTTTTCAGTCTTGCCAAATATTTTATTTTGGTGTTTTTATGCTGACGTCACCGAAATCGCCAATCGAAGCGCTAAAAATTGCAAATCCCATAATTTCATCTCAATGATTTTAGCAATAATAATAATTGTGGTAATAGTCCGGCAGATGAGGGGCCTTTTTGGGCCCTACCTTGTTTTCAGACATAAATTTTTTTTTTATTTGTGATTGTTCATCTTGGGGTTATTGCCCATCATTTCTACATGGGTGTGGAGTTTGCAGCCTTGAGCAATTTTTTTTTACGGCTTGATATTTGTATCAGTGTTTTTCATCAAATCTGTGCACCATAATGGCGCACAACCTGAAACCTAACCTGTTACAATACTATGTTCAGGTTGTGCGCCATCTTGGTGCACAAACTACGGAAGCACCAAATTTACTAGGAAATAAAAATCAATAACTTTTAGGTATTTTTTGAACCCAGCTTTGGGTCGCGACCCATATATATGGAAATATTGTTGAAATACGCGTAAAATAAAGAGTACTATTTCAAAATACCCGCTTTTGTTGCAATTACCAATACAAGCCTGCTAATGCAGTCGGCAGTGGTTCAAGTGGATATACACCCGGTGGAGAACAGTCAATTATTTGCTAGCAAGGATTGGTATGCAGCGTGATGATCACGACGATGCAGTGAAAGATAATGCTATCACGAGAACAAGAATGAGAAAATTGCTACATTTTATAGTATATCCCTGGGAAAGAATGTAGTTCATTATTATGTTCCTTACCAATGCTTTTCAAACTACCAAAGACTTTCAACACTTTTGCTTCTTCTCTTCTATGAAAATACATTGGATACATAGGAGGCCGTGGTTCCCTTTTAGGAAACCCTGTCATAAACTTAAATAGGCAACCGTGCTTCTCTTGCCTGTTGTCATGCTGTCCCTCGAATTCAGCTACAACAAAAAAATTCACAAAAACGGGTTTTAGATTTTATGATTTCATTATTATTCTCGACAATAAATGATATATATACGGTGAATTAATTGTGGTTGTTGGGGATGTTTCAAAAAAAAGGTTGAATGGAAAAAAAGGATTTGACAAAATGTGAAGGTTTGAGAGTAGTAGAGAAGTGGAAAAAATACTCCCATGTGTTCTTCATTTGATAACCACGCCACAGAACTTCTCCGATAAATATACGCAGCAATTGCAAGAGGCAGAAATGCCAAGATGGGATTTCATCGCATTGCAAACCAATATTAGTGATTCTCAGATATATTCGCGCATTCCCATCTGAACAGCGTGGAGAAGATTATACCTATCTACACACTTAAAAAACTATGTCAGATGAGCGTCATATTATTGAATATCAGTGAAGGAATAGTGCAATGGGAAAAGTCATATAAGGCGGAACTTTCAGTAATACGCATCAAATAATCTTATTGTGGAATATATATTTAAAAATATTTCGTAACGCCAACCGCAGTCCGAAACTTTTTGTCTCTGGCTGAGCTTAGATACCAATTGGCACTCATGTAAACTGGTAAGAGGCACGCGATGGAGCAGATAATATGAGTATCCATCCCCCAGCTGTCATTTGAGTAGGTACTGCTGTTTTTATTGCAGATGATACTGATTTTTTTGTATTAAAGATTTACTGGCATCGCCGATTTAAGGATGTCAAGTGATGGATATAAATAAACCATTTGAAAACCAACACGCAGTATTACAAAACTTACTTCCAACACGCGGTTTGAATGAATAAAAAAGCTGAAACTAGTATTCTTCAAAACAGCATACAAATTCTATGGAATGAAATCATACACAAAAGCTCGTCAAAAACCTATAGCTCAATAAACAAGTGGAATTTGATGCTTGTTCGCAAAAATGTGCGCGTTACTACGTACAACCGAAGGACGCAGGAAAATGTGTGTGATGTACTAGTGATCAAAATGTTTGACTCAACTATGTTGGCATAACAGATGCACATCTCGGTTTTGCATACGCATACCTTCTATCTTCACAAGGATATATTAATTTGACCAAGGTCAATGCTGCACCTGAAAGGTTGCGGTTCTTCCAAAAGAAAACACGTTACACATCTTTAGATACCAGTGGATGGTTTTACATGGCCTTGTTTGGAGTAAAAGACGAGGTCGAATATTCCAATCCATTTCAACTAATAAAATATTTCCCAAGTCCCTAAGCTTTAAGCAGGAAAGCGAAATGCCCGCAGCAACACAAATGTAGTTTGACGAGCGCAAAAGAAAGTGGCTAGATGCTGTCGATGGATCTTGGCTTATATTAGTGAAATAAACTACCATTTATTCTACTAAAATCGAATTTCTGACATTGTAAGGAGATGCAATGTTACTATGTATTCAAAACTAACCCATGTAGTTATGAAATAATTGTTTTTAACGAAAATGTGCTCCCGAAGTATTTGTACCAAGATGGCGCACAACCTGAACATTGCATGTGTACCAGGTTAGGATTCAGGATGTGCGTCATCTTGGACTGAATACTTTAAATCCACTTAAAAACAATTGCTCAACATTATATACTCCACACCACCTGGGTATCATTATTTATGTCATATACATTATATCTAAACAATAAAAAAAACTTTATGTCCCAAAACAATGTTAAAGCCCGATTCTGCCGGACTATATCGTTTGTTACAAAATTACATAAGAAAACGCTGGGACTGAAGATAGAATTAGCATGCGTATTTTCAATTTGCTTCAATTTTTTGTGTCCGTTTGCCTAGACGGCTAATAAAAAACGATTTGCTTGATTGATATTTCCCATATTTTCTTTCTTGACCTCTTCTATATTTTGAAATGTCAGTGATTTTCGTTATAGGAGCGAGAGTCACATTTTGATGGATTTTCGTTGTAACTTTATGATTTGTAAATGGGAAAGTTTTTTTTTGGTTAATTTATTCACAGGCCTTGGATATATTGCACGTGACTTCATCATAGTAGAAGAGAGTGAAAATCTTACGTTGTCTGAAAACTCCGAATCAACAATATAAAGACGAGAATATCGGTCAGAGACTGAAGACTTATCGATCGAAAGTTAGGGGATCCCCCAAAACAGCACTCTTACTCCATAGTGACACCTTGTGTCCCATCACTAATTAATTAATAACTCGCTAACTATACGACATAATTCATCCAAAATCAATAGGCTTCTGGTACGACATATGATGAATGCACATATGTGCTAAAATAAGTAATAATGGGATACAAATAGGCTAACAAAATATTCGTTTGTGCAAAATTGCTGCAAGGGTGTAATGTAGTCCATGGCTATATAGAATATAGATTATGGCAAAGGGCTTGCATGAATAGAGCGAATCTTCTTTTCTCTTAAACTTCAAAATATGCCCGAGTCAAACAAGTGATTTTCTAATTGCGAGATGGTCATCTATTCTGATAACTATCTAATTGGATATACCGGGAGAGAGGCCGCAACTTTCTATATGGAGGCGCTCGATTCCCAGAGAAGAAATTCGGATTAATTGTAGTTTAATGAGATGGGGCAAAAATTTTCGCTGTAAAAGACACACATCAATTTATTATAACTCTTATGTGCAGAAGAAGAAGCTGTAGTATCATAATTTTAGTTCGCCAAGTAGCAGAGTCTTGTCCATTCAAGAGTGAACTATGAACTTAAATTCGTCGACTTCACCACGAAACCTGATATATCTTAACTTCAAGTTTCTCCAGTGAAAGGAAACAAAAGGGAATTTTATATGGATGAAAAGTGAGATATTCATTAACCTGACAACCAATATCCCGATTTTTTAGACTCCTCCCTTCAAAAATACTCTTGCGAGAGTTCGTAAACCAAACAAAATGAGAAGGGTGTAATGGCAATTTCACTGAACTTGAGTTTGTATCCTAGCAATTTATTACACGTACATTTACTTGTGATACTATAAGTTATTTGTCATATTATAATCAATGAATTTTTTTTTTAATATTTCGATCGATAGAACTACACTTATGGTAAAAATATTTGACTAATGGGTAATATGGGGTTATGGTTTGGAAGTGAGGAAGAAAAGTGATTAAAATGAAAAAAAATTGGCATCTCGTTTTGAACATAATGAGAGTTAACCTATAGGTGTTAAGTAGTTCAAAATTTGGGATATACGTATTGCAAAAAAAAAATATAATTTAGACGCGTATTATCCCAAACTCACCCAACTATGATTTGAAAGTCTAAATTTATACTTCAGAATGAGTCACATTGGATCGCCCATTGTCCATCTACCTCATTACTACTGTATGTGCTTTGAAAATGTATTTTTATCTCATCAAACTTTGAAATACTATGCACGTCACAATTCTACGATTACGGTAAAGTGGGTAAACTTATAACTGTTCAATAGGTACTCCTAAAATATGCGCACCAAGATGTCGCACCACCTGGACCCTAACCTTGTACACAGTCTGAGTTCAGGTTGTGCGCCATCTTGGTGCGTAATATATTTACCTTGAACCAACAGAGTAGATCGACTTTGTCAGTCAATCATACGACCGAAAGTTTTATGGCTGTATATTATGATTGACTATGGTCTAACGCTAGAAGAGGCATTCTACATGACAAGTGAACAACAGCAGCAAGTCAGATTAAACTATGCAGGCAGCATATAACATGTTGGCAAACCCCGCCCTCACATCCAAATAAAAGTTGTGGTAATATAATTAAATATTATAGTAAGTGCAGTGTTTATTTTTTTGAAAGATCAGTTTTTTCAAATGTTAAAATAAATTACTCGATGTTTTGAAACAGAAATCCCACATCTGCCAACAAATTTTTCAAAATCGCCGATCTTCTGCATTGCCTATCTCTAGAACTTGTATAGATAAGATTGGTTTTGAGCATATTGTGAGCATTCTTATGCAGTTGTATTGTTATTTCGAGGTAGCATAGCAACCAAAAATCCAAACATACAGCCTGAAATAGATCCCCCAAAAAGAGTCTCACAATCCAAAATACATATCGACGCATTCTTGCTATAAAATGTGTATATTCCCATAAAATAATTATACACACGTGGTAATATTCAAATTATCAAAGTTTTAGCATATTATATACATTTACTGGCATGTATTGATTTTGGCATAATTTCACCCAGTATTTTTCAAACTTCTCAAAGATCAAAACTGTAAATTCGGATGCGTGTGGCTTTTGTGTAATAAATGACTTGTGTAGAAGTTCTTCATGACCGCAGACATAAGTTCAAATCTATCAGTAAGATCACAAAAGAAATATATTTGGCAAATACCTGATATGTTTCAAGTATGATGAAAAAAAAACGTGCTGATTCATTCAACAGCAATTTTAGTGGGCTTCAGGAAATTCTATTCATTTCTGCATGTAGACGTATAAAAATTATTACACGATTTTTTGTTTGATATATTCGGCTTTGTTGATGCATGGATTGTGCCTCTATTTCTATATAAACAGGAATGTCTTACGCTGCGTCATCTCATCGACGAAATATTTTAAATGGTATATTCATCGTTGATTGTGTACATATGTACTATGAGCGATTATAACGGAAAAGTAATAAAATCCTGTTAATAGTTTACTAGACTGTTAAAAAATAATTTGCTACAAGTTGATCAAACGAGTAAACTCGTTTACAGATTCCTATTTAACGAGATATCATTCTCTTAAACTACTGGTGAATTTAATATATTTTGCATGCTTTTTAATGTAGAGAAATTTGACCCTAATCGTGACAAGGCATAGTGCCTACTCTTTTCACGGCAAAATAGGACGGATATTTATTTCGAATATTGATGGAATGCCGAATGCCCTATTTTGCCAAACCAATAACTTCTTTTTACCAATGCTGGAATGTTTTCAATTTTTGCATATATGTTGAGAAACTAAACGAGAGGTTACTAGTTTTAGGTAATCCAGTGTCCGATAACATAATCCTATTTAACACAGATTTGGAAAGAATCTGGGGTTCTTGTTCAATGTATTTTTAGGTTTAGTGTGTATTGACTACGAGAAGTATGCAAGTGTTCAAGATATTTTCAAAGCTCGATTACGTGTCTCGAACTAATTTTATTGTATTCTGAATATCTTCGTGTTCTGTATTTCAAGTTTAGAAAAAAAAATGAGACACTGCTCATTTGTAAAATCAATTTCTCATGAGATGTCTCAAAAAATAAGCTACACAGTCAGTATGTACATATAGTTGTTGTTTCAAGCGTTATTTACTAAACTGTTCAGATATCAAGCTGTTTCCGTACAACGACGTGGGGAATTAGTTTCCTAGTAGAACAGAATCGTTAAAATAAAAGCAAATTGATTGATCTCCTAAGACATGTCTAATACATATATATCGATAGTAATTTTTGCGAGTCTCTATTTAAAAAGCATTAGTGTATCACATATTGAAAATTACGTCGTTCGTCAATATTATACGACAGCTTTCAACATCTAACACTTCAATAATCTTTAAAGTGCTATATAACAACAACTCTTGAACGTTATTATAACACAATATCATACTTTTCGGGAAGAGAAGTAAAGGCTGTAGTCATTAGAGATATAATCAAATCTCTGAAACATGGGAATGCATTCAAAAAGAGCGGATTAGTGAAGCGCAATAAGTCAGTTTTAGAATATTGAACGGGAAATAGGCAATTTTCGAAAATGTTATGATTCTAAGAACTAACAGTTTATATGATATTCATTTTCTAGCATGAAAGATATGATCCTCCGCAGACAATGCTAATACATGTTGGGAGTAACGACGGAATATAATATATGTTAGAGGTTGCGAGGCAGATAATTCTAATCGAAAAACACTTGTAAAACATTTGTTAAACATGCAGATTTAAACGGTGTACTTGAAATTCGTAAATAGTTTATTCGTTAGCAAACTAATTCAAGCAAGACAAATATGCCGGTTGAATTCTACTACTTGGCTATGAGCCCTCCATGTCGCGGAGTTTGGATGGTATTGGAAGCACTTGGTGTTGAGTATACTGACAAATTCATCAATATATTGAACCAGGAAAATAAAACTCCGGAATTTGCCAAAATCAACTGGAGACAAAAAATACCGGCAATCCGTGATGGGGATTTTGTATTAGGCGAAAGGTATGAAACAAAGATGTTATCATTCAATAAAATGATTCATTGTCAGAATAAAATTTTCACAAAATGTTACTCTTATCAGCAATTTGAATCAGTTTGTATATTTCCAAGTTTCTACAATTGTGAAATTATGTTTATTATTTAAATGTATTGCTATTTTTATTATACATTATTTCAGTCGTGCAATCGCGACATATCTCTGTGAAGAGTATGCTGCAAGAAACAACAAAACATCCATTTATCCGAATGACGCAAAGCTCAGAGCAAGAATCAACCAAATGCTTTATGTGGATGAAAATTGGAGTGAACAACTCATGTCTTATATCGTAAGTAGTAAATTTACATCAATGGTCAAATTGGCTGGTAATTAACGCTGAATTAATTAATAATCGTAATTTGTCAATTTTTGATTAATTGAGTTATATGAGCCCGGTATACAATCGAGTTACATGAACGCGGAGTATACCTACTGATATTTAGTAACCCCGATACCTAAAGCACATAATGTCATAGTATTTATCATGCTCCATGTGGGAGTCAAGGAAGCGTTTCCAATGTATTTGCGTAACTTTATAATGAAATATTGAGTGCACTCACCATGATTGCTTCATACCTATTATACCTACCGGGTGGTTATCCCCATTTGTGTCTGCTTTATTTGTTTTATAAGTAAATGTATATTGTGTGTAACACAAGTTTTGTACATGAATGTAACTTTCAGAATATAGGCGGAGTTGTAATGCGAGGAGAAAAGCCAAAAACAGAAAACGTTGACAAAGTGAAAGAGGTTCTGGGAGCTGTTGAGAAAGTACTGAATGAGCGAAAATACATTGCTGCTGACCAACTCACCATTGCAGGTAATGCGGCGATTATTTCATTCTACAGGGGAAAATAAACAGTTTTTTCTTTATGAAGTGGGGTTATGCTTTTACTGTCATACTTGATCATTCAATTTCAAAATCATTTCATATGTAGTAATATGTAGTTAACATTAACGTTTGATTGATCACAATCTCCAGATGAAAATGTACTCTAGCATTGAAAGCATTTAAATATCTTATCGCAATATTTATATGGGAATATCTTTCAGATGTTACTTGGCTTATCTTTTCTTAAAAGTGTACCAACCCACATAGATGACAAGCCTTGTACTATAAGGTGAACCAGATTCGACAAAAAGGAAATTACCAAACACAATATGCTAACAAATATCAGTAACTGTATTAATACTTTAACTGTATCAATACAATGACTGCTAAAATCGAGTTTGAAAAAGTTCCAATATTCAATCGTTATTTGGTTATGTGATATGACGAAAATAGATCTTCGATTCAATAAGCGGTACTACTTTGAACAAATTTAGTTATATAATGTGAATAAATATAAATATAGTTACAGTATGTAAACAAGGATTTTCAAACTCTACTCATTTTTCAGATTTTTTCGTGTACGTGACTGTGGGATTGCTTCAAATGACGGAATACAAAGAGTATGATGCGTATCCTAAACTTGTAGCATGGCAGAAAACAATGTCAGAACTTCCATATCACAAGAAAACCTGCGAGGAACCTCTGGGGCAACTGGGAGCATTCTACAAATCAAAGCTTCAGTGATAGACTCATGAAACTTGTCAGCATATTCTGAATTCTCATAATAAAACTTTATAATACATATCAAACAATTTTGAACTTAATAAAACTCTTTTGATTTCACATATCCTGTTTTAATGTAGCATACATGGTGTTGAAGTAGGGCGTGTATTCCGAATTGGCGTGAGTGGTAAGTGTTGCAACAGCCAGTTTTCATTGCCACACTTGACACATGACATACACGGGTCGCGGTTTTTAAATGAAATGACAGGAAATTGGTAAAAACAGATGCTCATACAGTTGTGGTCATCTCAAAAACTTTGTATATGTTTTGAAGCCTTCCCTTCAAAGGTCCTTAGTTTATATAAGCTACACCTCACAGCTGTGTATTAGAATTAGACATTCTTCAGACTTGACATTTTAGGACGGTCTCATGGATTAGATATAGTGTCGGACTTTGACGTTGCTTGAAGGGCACTGTAGGACACATGCGTACTATTTCGTTTACATCAATTTTGAGTTAGGCTTGATGTGGTAAATTCTCAAGCTTGCAACGTGGGGGTCAATTCCGGCAACGACATCGCATGGGATATTTGAACTACATAGTTGCTACATTACATTATGCAATTTGTTAATTCAGACATACATAGTTGGATATTATTCATTTTCTAAAGTACTGAGCACATTCCGGAAGAAATAACGAAAAGTAAATAAATTCACTCTTTAGTGAACAAAAACGCCTTTTAGCATGTAGTCATTTTGGTTAATCATTTGTAAAATAAGCACATACCTTCATGACGATGCAATTTTTAAATGGGGCTTGTTCAATATTGGATGTATACCAGTAATTTCGTCTGTCACTGTGGTCAAATATTGATCATGCAACATCCTATGACAAAGCATTTTTAGCCGACCTTCGAAAGGCAACTATTATGAAACATACTGGTTTAGTATTTATTTGGATGACTGCTGTTACGTACCACTCGGAAATATTTTTTTTCATTATCAAAATTTAAAATATATAAATTTTGCTATTCTAGACTTAAATATCTAACTTGAAGTATCTGAATTTGATCAAACACTAAACGACATTTCTGACATGGAAAAACAAAATAGGCAGTGTGGTAGGAATGATAAAATAATACATTAAAATTACCTAGGCCTAGACTAGATGATTGGAATTTCCTTTTAAATATATTTATACTAGGCTACCTGTATTTGTATTAATTACTGCTATTATGTTTTTTTTCATATAATTCACTAAAAACAAATGTTGACAATTCTATCAGAAACTTGAATGTGTTGCAAGATTGAGTTACAGAGAATGCACTTCATATAATCAATAGTGGCAATCACAATTATAAACACAATTTTTTTCGATTGCAACCTTAACAATACATAGGAAAAGAACTCGCAAGTAAAACATGTCTGATTTATCAAATACTCCAAATAAATCCCAGATATTTTTGTTTAATATTTGAAAATGAGATAAAGTAATTTCAAAGCTTATACAGTGCTCGAGTTACTCGGCAAAATTGCACAACATTAATGTCGATTGTAAAAAAGAACACGTTTGGGTAAATACAGTCGAAAAGCAAACATTCGAAAAGAGACTTATAAAAGAAACATCGAATGTGCGCAAAGCACATTTACCCTTCGTAATTGCGCTTGCAGGTCACAACGATGCCGATTGACTTTTATTACACCCCCTTAAGTCCACCGTGCAAAACTGTGTATATGGTCCTAGAAGAACTTGGACTAGAACATACAGACCATGATTTGGATTTGAGGAAAGGTGAGCACAAAACTGCTCAATACGCTGAATTGAACCCAAGGCAAAAAGTCCCTGCACTACGCGATGATTCGCTATCAGTTGGAGAGAGGTGAGTATTAGAATTTTAATATATTTTAAAACTGAATGTAATTTGGAAATATTGTGGAAAATCTAAATTAACTATTTTCCAAAGTGAAGTTTTAATAATTTTTTTTGTTGTTAATTGAATCAATTACATCAGAAATAAATTGAATATGTTGTTGAATAAAAACAACAAAAAAAAATAAAAAAATTTTTTTACAGATTTTTGTCAGACCACAAAGAATTACGTATTTTTATACTCAATTTGTATACATACGTATTGCTTGTGCCCAGAGTACATACGTTCAGCTGGTCGATTACCAAGTACTGATGTATCTGGCAAAACCTTTAAAGTTGCTTTTGGGCCCATCTATATCAAAATAAGCGGACTTCCTGAAATATGCGCACCAAGATGGCGCACAACCTGAACTCATGTTGCGTACCAGGTTAGGGTTCAGGTTATGCGACATCTTGGTGCGCATACTTCAGGAGTACCAAATAAGCAAATGATCAACTTTGAACTTGGCGTGATTATAACAATCAATTTCAAATATGTTTTATTTTTTTACCAACCCCATATGCGTCATATTTTATTTTGCTCCGCTTTTCTTTCTCTAAGTGGTATTTCTAGGTTGATATTACCGCATAAGTCCAAAATGAGCATCACATTTTACTATAACCATATAAGAATTAAATACATTGCTATTATTGTTGTGATCAGTTAAATTTTCATTTAAATGTTGCAGTCGAGCTATTGCTTGCTATCTATGCAACGAATATGGAGCGATGAAGAACAAGAAAAATCTTTATCCGACAGATCCACGAACACGAGCAAAAGTTGATCAAATGCTTTACATTGATGTTGATTGGTGGGAAAGTATAGTATCCTACGTGGTAAGTTTCGACGTTGGCAAAAACTCGACATTCAATTTATTTTTTAAGTGGCACAGAAAGCAAAGCACAGTGAACTAACTCACTGTAAGATATATACCCGAATCTTTGCGTTTTTTTAAGGAATCAAAGAAACCCAATTTAAAGGAAATAAAATTTAATTATAGCAGCATTAACCCGTCATATCACTCTGTTCTGTTCCTGCGTTTGATGAGCTAGATCAGTGGTTCTCAAACTTTTTGAAAAGAAATTCCATGACGGACCCCTTGCAATTTTTTGAATGATTCCCGGCCCTGCGCACTAAAACAAAACATTAAAAGATCACAACAAAAAATCAATGCGCCGTGAAGTGAAACGAACAAAAGAATATAAAGCGCAACTCTTATGACATGTGTGACATCCAGTCTGTTCCGATATTTGGTAAACGTACAAAAGGACAACAACACCTACAGCCCTGCAGTTAGTAAACTCGTGGTAACATGAATTGAACTCTTTCTGTGATATCACAAGCACACAGCTATGTGACATCACAATGAGGCAGTGTGATCGAAACAGAAAGTGACCAATCAGTGTCTCCAACGGTGATTACGAAGCAGAAAAAGGCGACAAATGTGTATTCGTAAATTTAAGCACTTAATTTTTGTATTATCGAGCTATGAGTCATATTACAGATTTGTTTCGCGGACCCTCCGAAAGTGCTTGACGGACCCCAAAAGGTCCGCGGACCCCAGTTTGGGAACCACTGAGCTAGATTAAAAAAACTGATTTTACGGACTCGATTCTGCATAGAAAAGCAAGGCTGCAGTGTACTGCAGTATATTTAAAAAAATTTAGATAGTTCACACACTAAAATGTTCACTTTATTACTATCATTGTTTCTTAGAATGTTCGAGGAGTTTTTCTGCGGAATGAAAAAACTAAAGTCGAAAACGTTGGCAACGTCACCGACGTTCTTGCAGCTTGTAATAAAATTTTGTCTGAGAAGAAATACATTGCCGCTGATCATTTGACAATCGCAGGTAATAAATAAGTTAACTTGTTTGATCCGGTCCAATTTGAGTAAAACATATACCAATTTGGTATATAGACATAGACATACACAATAAAACTTAATTTTATTGCCCGCTTAGCGGCTTCAAATCCAAATGCACTTCCAGTACAACACATGGTATATATATATCGAAAAGTTTGAATTGTTTCACATTTATTTTACAAAATAACAAGATTCAATAAAACATGACGCTAATCTTCGTGTTTTATTTTTTATTTAGACTTTACTATTTACAACACATTATCGCTGCTCAACATAACGAATTTCAATGACTACGATGCATATCCCAAAGTCATTTCTTGGAAGAAAACAATTTCACAACTTCCATATCACAAAAAAATCTGCGAGGAGCCGGAGCAAAAGTTTAGAGCATTATATCTGTCCAAACTTGAAGAATAAAATTATAAGCTTCGATTATATGAATAAACTGTAATTTAGGAGTAATGAACTTTAAACGATCGACGATGAAGCTATCGTGTTGAAATTTAGCAATATTTTAACAACGTCTAAAAGGGATAATTCAGTATTTTGGAGAACATTTTAATTTTTTTGAAATTGTATGTCAATTGATTAAATAATGTATTATTTTTAACGTATTTAGAATAATAATAATATGTTAAAAAAGTACACTGAATAATACTACAGTGGCGTACCTCAGTCGTCCGCTCAATGCCCTACACACGTTCGCTTGCTTATAACGTTAAGAAGTTGATCGACTCAGAAGTTAATCTAGTCCAGTTGAGATGTTGACAGTGACTAGATAACAGTTTGCGTGCCCGTATTATGCACTGAAAATGAATCAGCAGCAGCAGATGTTTTGTCAATTTTGGACTAATATAAGAAATAAGTTAAAAGACCAATATATATCAACACACGATTATATATCTCTTCCGATATATTGTACACCAAATTATCAAAAATGTTGATTGCGTTGTAAATTGCAAAACTGATGGCTTTAGATCGATTTTGAATTCGGCAACAAAAATTTCAATTTTAATAAAAATTCAACATTCGCCCCTTATCAATTGGAAATCCTCTTCCATGAAATCGCATTAATTCAGGAAAATTATAGTATGATTCAAAGTTCTAAACCGCATGCAAAGCTTTGACAAATTTTAATGAAGGACACTATGGCAGATAACCCCGAGTTTCGGAATATTTAACCGCTAAATACTGAATATGAATAAATCAAAATATGCTGATGTTCCTGAGACTGAAGTCACGAATTACTAACACAGGAGGGGACTGAAAATTGTGTGCCACTTGTGTCTAATTGTTTTGCATTCCACAATGGGCTTAAAAACATGCTCTTATTTTTTCAAGTTAGTGCGATTTCATCGAAGAGGTCATACAAGTTTGAGGGAAGCCAGCCGTTAGCTTAAATTCTGCAAGTTTCAATTTCTGGATAATTTCCAAATGTTGGATTTTTTTCAAAATCAAACTTTTTGCCACTGATGAATTTAAAAACGGTGGGAAGTCGTTTGTTTTGCGAGTTACAACGCAATCTACATTTTCGATAAGGTGGTGTCGGTATGATAACTATAACTTATTTTTTTCCTATATTAGTTCGGAAACTTAAAAGAATGGGGCACTGCTCTCCGGCCTTCCTATCTCCCTCAGCTGATATGTTGGCAGTGACAAGCTTTTCTATACTCGACTCGCCTCTCTCAGCATACATAATTTGGGTCCACTTTCCAATCTTCATCATATTTCATCTCCCCAACCATTGCCCTATCCCCCTAATCCTTTCTAATCTCTCAGCTGTTCTATCCGCTTTCCACTGACCTATCACCCTCACCCAACTTCTCTGTCCCTTCATGTTTCCTATCCTTGAACCGCTGCCCTTTTCAGCAATCTTCCTCAATTCCTAAATCCCTGCCTCACCCCCTCAGCATTCCTAGTCTTCAAGGCACTACCATATCCGCTGCCCACTACCCTATTTCCCTCAGTCCTCACATCCGCATCCCACTGCCCTATGTCCACCAGACCTCATCCCCAACAAATAAACAACTGCTTTATTTGGCTCAGCCTTCCGACCCCCTTATCACCTACGGCTCCGTCCCGTATGTATCTTTGCCTTACCCATGGCAGCCCGGGAATTACTTTCAGTCTGCTTTCTACAGGTAGAAATAGAATACGATCCACAAGCATTTCCTGCCAATTCGTCAGTACAAATAGGTACCGCTGAGTAGAGGTACTACTTTACAAAATGTAGTAACATGATGTAATCAGATCATGTTCCAGTAACATAGCACGTTAACAGTAGCACTGTTTAAAGCTACAAATTATAGTGGTCGAATACCATTTGAGATTCCAGACAATAAGCCTGCATTAACTGGCTCGACAAATGATGTAAATAGGACGCCATTTTCAAATTTAAAACATTTATCATCATATATCCTCAACGAGATATAAATTTGTTTCAAACTTAACTATAACCACAATAACATCTCACAAAGTCATTCAACCTTATGGGCATGTTTCATCGACATACGTTTAAATGATCTCATTGGCATAGTTGTGCCATATAACACATGGAAGTTAGCATAAACGTAGACTAAGAAGGTTAGATGTAAGGATCGGAACGTTGGCGAGGAGCAGCTGGGATTGGGTCCGAGACGGAGGTAACGAGGCGATATGGCGCGGTGGGTTGAGGTTAGGAAGTTGCGGGCGGTAGGAGACTGCGGGAGGATTCCAGAGAGAAGGGGTGCTAGGTATAAGACGATAGATCGAGGATGGGAAAGATGAGAATAGGTAGGACAGTGGGTGGAGGCTAAGGCAGCTGAGAGGGGAGGAGCGTTGGACCGAGGAGTAGAAAGGTTGAATAGGGTGAGGCAGTGTGGGTCGTGGCTTGAAAAAAATCTGAAGGAACTCTTCGACCCTCTCAGCATTTCTTCTAATTAGTACTCAACTCACTAACTACTACAACTACACTATCCCCCTCAGCTTTCCCATCTGCATCCCCTTATAATTTTCCTATCCAACAACTTCCCACATTCATAATCACCTGTCCTACCCCAAGCCACTACTACCCTATCCGCATCCAAATATCCTATGGTCCACGTCCTTAACAGAAGTTTTTTAAAGCATTTCAGTGAAAAGTTGTGTGTTGCTAGGGAATTTCTTAGTCGACGAATAAATACTACATTTGCCCTTTTCTGCATTAGCCCCGCAAACTGAAATGAATGTGCAGAATTTAGGGCTCAAAATATACAAAAGAAAAAGTCCCAACCTGCCCTACTTTACCCTATTGTGCTTAGCACATCAGCTGTATTGGTATGGATGTAGCTTGAATACTTAGTCAGTTTAAATGACTGATTTCGAGAAATGGATAAAATGTCATTTTTATTGTGTATTGTATTTTGAATAAATTATTGCAATAGAACGTGGTCACGTGGTTAAAGTATAAATAGGGCTTGTCAGACAAAGCAATGGTCAGATACGTTCTACATATCACGTTATCTTATGTGAGATTCTAAGCCCAATTTTATTTAGCAAAATATATTATATTTAAAACCCTTAAAATTATTTTTTATTTTTATATTTCTCTAAATAAATTTGTATTTTGTTATTCTCAAATTAACGATATTTCAGGATAACTACACTCCAAGAAAACCACCCTGCAGCTTTCATACCACATGGTTGTAAATTATAAATCAATTTCACTATAAAATGCCATCCAATTTATTTGTATTTATATGAAATCGACTAGGCTTGCACGTAATTGACAAAAATCAATTCCGTAATTACGTCAAAATCGATTACGTAATGACCCCGTAATTGCGATATTTTTTCACTCATTTAAAAACCTATCATAACAACCATTTGAATCCACTTCTTTTCCGAATGGGACATCGAAGCTCGATTTTCATATTCCTGGCAGTACTACTCGTCGGCGAAATATGTTAAAGACAAATATCAAAGAGTATATTCAAATTAATTTTATTTTGATTTTTAACTTTTGTGTTAGCTTTGATTTTCCTTTATCACCTTCGCAAATTAACCGTCCCAATTTTATGCGATCAATTTTGTCATTACCGACACTGGTATACGGATATTTATGAAACGATGGTTGACTTTTTTTTTAAATCGAGTTTCGTATTAAATAAAAATCTTTATCCGACAGATCCACGAACACGAGCAAAAGTTGATCAAATGCTTTACATTGATGTTGATTGGTGGGAAAGTATAGTATCCTACGTGGTAAGTTTCGACGTTTTGGCAAAAACTCGACATTCAATATATTTTTTAAGTGGCACAGAAAGCAAAGCACAGTGCACTAACTCACTGTATAAGATATATACCCGAATCTTTGCGTTTTTTCAAGGAATCAAAGAAACCCAATTTAAAGGAAATAAAATTTAATTATAGTAGCATTAACCTTTCATATCACTCTGTTCTGTTCCTGCGTTTGATGAGCTAGATTGAAAAAATGATTTTACCTACTCGATTCTGCATAGAAAAGCAAGGCTGCAGTGTACTGATATGTCCGTTTAGTGCATTGTTATTTTTAAAAAAATTTAGATAGTTCACACACTAAAATGTTCACTTTATTCATATCATTGTTTCTTAGAATGTTCGAGGAGTTTTTCTGCGGAATGAAAAAACTAAAGTCGAAAACGTTGGCAACGTCACCGACGTTCTTGCAGCTTGTAATAAAATTTTGTCTGAGAAGAAATACATTGCCGCTGATCATTTGACAATCGCAGGTAATAAATAAGTTAACTTGTTTGATCCGGTCCAATTTGAGTAAAACATATACCAATTTGGTACATAGACATAGACATACACAATAAAACTTAATTTTATTGCCCGCTTAGTGGCTTCAAATCCAAATGCACTTCCAGTACAACACATGGTATATATATCTCGAAAAGTTTGAATTGTTTCACATTTATTTTACAAAATAACAAGATTCAATAAAACATTTATTTAGACTTTGCTATTTACAACACATTATCGCTGCTCAACATAACGAATTTCAATGACTACGATGCATATCCCAAAGTCGTATCTTGGAAGAAAACAATTTCACAACTTCCATATCACAAAAAAATCTGCGAGGAGCCGGAGCAAAAGTTTAGAGCATTATATCTGTCCAAACTTGAAGAATAAAATTATAAGCTTCGATTATATGAATAAACTGTAATTTAGGAGTAATGAACTTTAAACGATCGACGATGAAGCTATCGTGTTGAAATTTAGCAATATTTTAACAACGTCTAAAAGGGATAATTCAGTATTTTGGAGAACATTTTAATTTTTTTGAAATTGTATGTCAATTAATTAAATAATGTATTATTTTTAATGTATTTAGAATAATAATAATATGTTGAAAAAAAAATAATACTACTGAATAATACTACAGTAGCGTACCTCAGTCGTCCGCTCAATGCCCTACACACATCGCTTGCTTATAACGTTAAGAAGTTGATCGACTCAGAAGTTAATCTAGTCCAGTTGAGATGTTGACAGTGACTAGATAACAGTAGCGTGCCCGTATTATGCACTGAAAATGAATCAGCAGCAGCAGATGTTTTGTCAATTTTGGACTAATATAAGAAATAAGTTAAAAGACCAATATATATCAACACACGATTATATATATATCTCTTCCGATATATTGTACACCAAATTATCAAAAATGTTGATTGCGTTGTAAATTGCAAAACTGACGGCTTTAGATCGATTTTGAATTCGGCAACAAAAATTTCAATTTTAATAAAAATTCAACATTCGCCCCTTATCAATTGGAAATCCTCTTCCATGAAATCGCATTAATTCAGGAAAATTATAGTATGATTCAAAGTTCTAAACCGCATGCAAAGCTTTGACAAATTTTAATGAAGGACACCATGGCAGATAACCCCGAGTTTCGGAATATTTACCCGCTAAATACTGAATATGAATAAATCAAAATATGCTGATGTTCCTGAGACTGAAGTCACGAATAAAACTCTTTGGAAATTACTAACACAGGATTGTTTTGCATTCCACAATCGGCTTAAAAACATGCTCTTATTTTTTCAAGTTAGTGCGATTTCATCGAAGAGGTCATACAAGTTTGAGGGAAGCCTGCCGTTAGGTTAAATTCTGCAAGTTTCAATTTCTGGATAATTTCCAAATGTTGGATTTTTTTCAAAATCAAACTTTTTGCCACTGATGAATTTAAAAACGGTGGGAAGTCGTTTGTTTTGCGAGTTACAACGCAATCTACATTTTCGATAAGGTAATGTCTGTATGATAACTATAACTTATTTTTTTCCTATATTAGTTCGGAAACTTAAAAGAATGGGGCACTGCTCTCCGGCCTTCCTATCCCCCTCAGCTGATATGTTGGCAGTGACAAGCTTTTCTATACTCGACTCGCCTCTCTCAGCATACATAATTTGGGTCCACTTTCCTATCTCCATCATATTTCATCTCCCCAACCATTGCCCTATCCCCCTAATCCTTTCTAATCTCTCAGCTGTTCTATCCGCTTTCCACTGACCTATCACCCTCACCCAACTTTTCTGTCCCTTCATGTTTCCTATCCTTGAACCGCTGCGCTCTTCAGCAATCTTCCTCAATTCCTAAATCCCTGCCTTACCCCCTCAGCATTCCTAGTCTTCAAGGCACTACCATATCCGCTGCCCACTACCCTATCGCCCTCAGTCCTCACATCCGCATCCCATTGCCCTATGCCCACCAGACCTCATCCCCCAACGAATGAACAACTGCTTTATTTGGCTCAGCCTTCCGACCCCCTTATCACCTACGGCTCCGTCCGGTATGTATCTTTGCCGGTTCCATTACATTTGAACCCACGTACATTTGAACCCATGACAATTGTACCTGTATGCTATTGCACCTATGGAATTTTTTTTGTTTCACGGATAGTTAAACCCATACTAACCCTAACCCATGGGTTTTAGCACCCGCATATAGATTGAACCCGTGGATATACGCATGGGTTCAAATGTACATGGGTTCAAATGTACGGTCACCATCTTTGCCTTACCCATGGCAGCCCGGGAATTACTTTCAGCCTGTTTTCTACAGGTAGAAAAAGGAATACAATCCACAAGCATTTCCTGCCAATTCGTAGGTACAAATAGGTACCGCTGAGTAGAGGTACTACTTTACAAAATATAGTAACATGATGTAATCAGATCATGTTCCAGTAACATAGCAAGTTAACAGTAGCACTGTTTAAAGCTACAAATTATAGTGGTCGAATACCATTTGAGATTCCAGACAATGAGCCTGCATTAACTGGCTCGACAAATGATGTAAATAGGACGCCATTTTCAAATTTAAAACATTTATCATCATATATCCTCAACGAGATATAAATTTGTTTCAAACTTAACTATAACCACAATAACATCTCACAAAGTCATTCAACCTTATGGGCATGTTTGATCGACATACGTTTAAATGATCTCATTGGCATAGTTGGGCCATATAACACATGGAAGTTAGCATAAACGTAGACTAAGAAGGTTAGATGTAAAGATCGGGACGTTGGCGAGGAGCAGCTGGGATTGGGTCTGAGACGGAGGTAACGAGGCGATATGGTGCGGTGGGTTGAGGTTAGGAAGTTGCGGGCGGTAAGAGACTGCAGGAGGATTCGAGAGAGAAGGGGTGCTAGGTATAAGGCGATGGATCGAGGATAGGAAAGTTGAGAATAGGTAGGACAGTGGGTGGAGGCTAAGGCAGCTGAGAGGGGAGGAGCGTTGGACCGAGGAGTAGAGAGGTTGAATAGGGTGAGGCAGTGTGGGTCGTGGCTGGAAAAAAATCTTAAAGAACTCTTCGACTCTCAGCATTTCTTCTAATTAGTTCTCAACTCACTAACTACTACAACTACACTATCCCCCTCAGCTTTCCCATCTACATCCCTTTATATTTTTCCTGTCCAACAACTTCCCACATTCCTAATCACCTGTCCTAGCCCAAGCCACTACTACCCTATCCGCATCCAAATATCCTATGGTCCTCAGCCTTCCTATTTTATTTTATAAATTACACCATCGTTTTTTGTTCGTTTTGAATGTGCCCCAGTGCCTGTCCGAATGTGCCCCACAAGTGTACCCCAGTGGGACACTTGACAGACGTTTTTTAAAGCATTTCAGTGAAAAGTTGTGTGTTGCTAGGGAATTTCTTAGTCGACGAATAAATACTACATTTACCCCTTTCTGCATTAGCCCCGCAAACTGAAATGAATGTGCAGAATATAGGGCTCAAAATATGCAAAAGAAAAAGTCCCAACCTTCCCTACTTTACCCTATTGTGCTTAGCACATCAGCTGTATTGGTATGGATGTAGCTTGAATACTTAGTCAGTTTAAATGACTGATTTCGAGAAATGGATAAAATGTCATTTTTATTGTGTATTGTATTTTGAATAAATTATTGCAATAGAACATGGGCACTTTCGTTGTTTTCATAAAACTTTAGTTTGAGGCTTAGTTTATTTTCAAAAAGAATAAATTTGACTGAATAATAGATTGTAAATTGTTGACAAAAATTGCTTTATTTCATCCAGCTTGAGTATATGTTTACAGTTTTTTTTTTCGAATAATTCTCCATTTTTTTCTAATCGCATTCGACACCATGATTAGTGTGTACGGTAATGAACACCACGCTTATTATAGATTTCAAATTAAAACTTAGTTAACTATATAAAAGCACAGACAAAAAAATGTTCTCACCTCCTTGATATTTAGGCTATTTTATTCTCTATAATAGTATACGGTGTTGTGCAAAGTTTGTTATAAATTTAGAAAAAATAAAAGCCCAGCTGTAAAAATACTATTGTAAATACGCTAGTGGGCGCAAAACATCTACCGTGATATACATTGCGTGTGTGCCCTTTATGCGCGATAAACAGATGCGTAACTATCCAAATATCAAATAGGCATAGAACATAGGTTACATTTAAATTATATTTTTTTATTTACGAATATTGTTAGATCAAGAAATATTTTTATATTTGAGTTTTGCCGTCCATCACGTGGTTAAAGTATAAATAGGGCTTGTCAGACAAAGCAATGGTCAGGTACGTTCTACATATAACGTTATCTTATGTGAGATTCTAAGCCCAATTTTATTTAGCAAAATATATTATATTTAAAACCCTTAAAATTATTTTTTATTTTTATATTTCTCTAAATAAATTTGTATTTTGTTATTCTCAAATTAACGATATTTCAGGATAACTACACTCCAAGAATACCACCCTGCAGCTTTCATACCACATGGTTGTAAATTATAAATCAATTTCACTATAAAATGCCATCCAATTTATTTGTATTTATATGAAATCGACTAATAATTCTAAACGAGGTTTTCAAATTATATAATTAAATATATATATATATTTATAAAATTCACGAGATAGCAGGAAGTTCACAATTTCTTACAAAAAGGTGTTAAAATAGATTATAAACTATTGCAGCCCTCTCTTTGCTCTGTATGCATTTCTAGTCATCTCCATGGGATCTTCGTAGGTTTTCTTATGACAGGATAGTTCCGAAATATGTTTCCTCCACTCTAATATTTTAGGATATGAGCTCATGTCTTCAAAATTTTCCGAGAGTTGGTAAATCAAGCCAGTAGTGACGTAAGCAAAGAAATCTGTGTATCGAATAGCAGACAAAACGTGTTTATTTATATACCAATATGCTTCAATAATATGGCATACAATTTTTATAAAACCACGGTTAGATGTGGAAATGAAATCATATATACCTGCGACTGTCAAATGGTTTCCAGCGATAAATTTATTCTCCGTAAGAAATTTTTCAACGGCATCAAGATAGTTTTTTACATCCTCTTCGTATTCTTTGCACATATTCGTTTCGCCTCGGAAGAAAACTCCTCCGATATTCTAAAAATATTGGGAAGAAACATTTATATTGACGACATTACTCAAAAGAGAATGAAAGTGTATCACAAATGATGTCCTCACTACTGAGATGTTAGACTAGAGTATTCGTTATTTTTGATGCGCCATGTAATCCAGCAAATATATATATTGACCCGAAATAAAAAGTATTTGATTGCTTTGTATTAACTTAATATATAATCATGATAGCATGTCGTGAATGATTAAACTTTGTGAGTTTTAAGGTAGGAAGTACGTATGCCAATTCGATGATCAAAGTAATCAATATTTAAAAATAATGTGTTTTTTGCTGTTCATGCTATAACGCTGTACACAAACGTTCTTTGAGTTTGGAAAAAATTTAATTCAAATAATTTAGTTGGAGGTTTTGGAGGTAAAACAACTACTAGGGCATCATATAGAATGTTACCAGATAATCGAAAGCTTTGGTTAATTCTGTTATATCACGGTAGAGGTAAGAGTCCACTTTGGCTTTGCATTTCGGATCTTGGGGATACAGAGCATCTTGCTTTTTTTCGTCTTCCAATTGTCGACAAATGTAAGCGGCTATCGATCGACTGAAATAAAGTCAATTACAATAGTAAATATAATGGGAAATTTGCCAAAACCCCTATTGCTTGCCTCTGTTTTACGGGGTTTCTGTTTCCTAAAAATATTCTATCAATACAGGAGGAAAATATAACTGTTGTTATCACAATTTCGACATAATTGTAACGTTTTGTGCCGAGAAGTAAATACTGTATGCCTACGATTACATCTCACGTTGGTTTCATCTTTACATTCTATGTATATATATACCAATACAATGACTGTTTATTTGGTAAAAGAGTAAAATTTGAGTGTAATATATTATAAGAAATCTAATAAAATAATCATGGATCTGGAAATTGTTTGGTTTCCTGGTTAATTTCACTCCCGATCATTAATGCTGAACTCAGAGGTAAATTTATATTTGAATACCTTTCTCCCATGCAGAAATCGCCATCTTTCAATCCTGGGACTTTTTCAAACACATTAATTTTCCTGTATTCTTCTGTCTCGTGTGCTCCTGATTGTACGTCAACTACTTTTTCTTCATAATCAGCTCCACAGCCCTTGAAATGTTCCAATAACATCCACACCGCGCGACATGACGGACTCGTCGGACTAAAGTAAAATTCTAATGGCATTTTTTATATTAGGTCTCAAGAATACAAACTGTAATAGTCAAAAATTGATTTACTATGAGTAACACATTCGATATGTTAAAGATATTTCCGACTGCAACTAATCAGTCGTAGTTCTTTGATCAAAGCTTGTTTTTCAGCTATGTCAAATTAGCTGACATCCCGAATTGTTGCAACATCGATTAGCAATCACCATGTTTTAATTGCATCTGAGGAAGTGTTGGCGCCATTGAAATATTAGACATTAAAAAAACGAAAGAAGTTGTTTTGTATGAAATATGAACTGAGAATCGCCACATGGACATGATCAAAACACATGAATGTCATTCTAGAACAGTGGTTCTTAAAACTTTTTCCAGCGCGACCCAAATCTGAGTTTTATGAATACTCGCGACCCAATCCTAAATAACGCAAAATGTGTTTTTATTGTTAGTACAGTTTGACTCAAATACAGACAACTATTTATTAGAAACAGTCCATTGACTCAGTGAGATTGATGAAACTGAAATTTCCTTTTCATTATATCTTCAATACACAGCTCTATTTTACTTAACGCAATACGCAAGTTGTCATGGGTATCGAGGCGATTGCGAGCTTAGTTTTGATAACCGTCAGTGCCGAATATCCTCGCTCGCACAAGTGCCTTGTCGCGAATTGTAGCAGAAAAGGCGTCCGCTGTCCGTCGCAAACACGACATCCTAGCTGGCCTTCGGTATCTCTCGCAATATACAACTTTTTACTCATCAAATGTGCACACACTGCTTCGTTCGCGGTAAATGGTGCCTCGAGATGAAGTCACATTTTCTCTAGATATTGAATAATCTAATGTCGAGAAGCGAGCTTTTTCATTGCGTCGTCTATTACAATTTACATTACCAAAAAGACACCCATTTTTGATTATTTTAATCCACTAAGACAACATTCCACGCGGTCAACACAACGACAAGCGACGTGCATGGTTACCGATACCATAAAAATAATACACAGGACTGGCATATCAGAATCGTGATGTAACAATGAGCTCACGACAGTTCTTTCCGTGAATGAAATTTTATATTTCATTATTTTCAAATACCAGAGTTTAGAAACTAAATTGAAACATTGGGAAAGCTGAAAATTCGTCCTTCTTAGATTGCCCTTGCATTGACGACCTTGTCGCGACCCATTTTTAAACCTTCCGCGACCCATGTTTGGGTCGCGACCCATACTTTAAGAACCACTGTCCTAGAAGAACCATTTCTTGAATTATTATTATTGCCTTTATTATAGTCATCGGTAAACGTTGCTACGCAAGAACATATTTCTGTTAGATGAGAGGCAACCCATTGATTGTCCCAACACCCACGTATGTTATATACGCTTTTTTAAATGTAAATTGAACGTTCCAAACACTATCGATTGTGAACGACCTTTCAATTCCTTTTTCTTATCTTCACATCGTATTTGTGCGCAATTTATGCTCGACCTGCAAAATCTCATATTGTATCATCGTGCCGCAATTCTCTAATAATTATATTTAGTCCAACAAAATATTGTTGTTTGCTAACAGACTAACATTTCAAATGATCTAAGCACTGCCATTCCCAACTCTACCAGTTGATTAAATGAAATTATCAATAGAACATATAAGTTTGTTTTTCTAAACACATCTATGTACAATGAGAAAGTTTTATTTAAAGACTCTCCACTCATGGTGTGAACTACAGATCAATTCGGCTTGTTTTGACTATTTAATACAATCAAACGTATTTGCCAACTCATCACCGCATTCACAAAGACTGAATACGGAAAACATTCGATATCTCCGTCGTTAGGGGCCATACAAAGTTACAAAATGACGAAAGAATAATAGCAACAATGATTTAGTAACTGAAATCACAACAACTGGTTTGGTACATACTCCGATCATTATACAAAATTTTCTTTGTTCAAGCTTGACACTGACAATACCGAGCTCCATGAAATGAATTCTGTGACTTAATAATAATATTAATACCGCGATATTTTTAACTAGACTGTATGGAATATTAATATGACTATGGTCATATAAAACAATTTGGCAATAAATAAAGTCATGAGGTATAATATAATATATATACAGCAGTAAACAATTGTATACATATATCAAGTAGGTATAACATATTGTCATCGGTTCCAATACAAACTAAAGAATAAGATATGAAACATTATAGACTTATTAAACAAAGCAACGATATATGCATCAATGGCAATGTGATATTTCACCTCAGCTTTTGGACATAGATATTTTGAATTTGGCGCCTTGGTGTTTTAAGCCATGCTTATGTATGAAATTTGAATATTTTGCATTTCGGCGTTTAATCTACCCAATTTTGTACATCTCACAGTGAATAATTTGAGAAATATAGTGGCTCTGGATGCGCCACAGACTTTCTCGGCGTAAAATGCTTTTATTTTTGCTCAATAGATACTTTCGAATTCATATCACACCATTCATAAAAATCTAAATATCATATCGCAATAAATTACAGATATTAACATGAAGTCCTTAACGAAAGTAACCTAATCTTTTTAAAAAACAATAGCTCATTTTAAAATCTTTTGTTGTAGTGTTATAATTAATCAATCTCTCAGTTGAAGTTGATGAGGAACGAAAAAAAATCGTATTTATTATACTATAGTTAATATAAGTCATCTCCAAATGTTCTCACAAAAATAATGGAGAATACAAAATGCAATTAGGAATAAAATCAAAATATTTTAACGCATCTAAACATTTTTGGTATCTTTTCTTTAATTCATCAATATTGCTTCCGACTGTTTCGAATTCGAACGGTATATCGGCAATCTTTGACTTCCATGCGCTAACATGAGGATAGTTTTTGAAGTTAAATTTTGCAACATCAAGAAGACAAATTGTGACGTAACAGAAGAAATCTGAACAAAAAACAAAAATATGACGACTCAAATAAAAATATGCAATTCAAGAGTCCTGCTGCACACTAACACAAATATATTTCTGTAACATTTCGTCTGACCAAAATCAGACTTCCTCAGACAAACAGTTTACAACAAGCCAAGTTGTTGTAAACAAGTTGTTGTAAACTGCTTGTCTGAGGAAGTCTGATTTTGATCAGACGAAACGTTACAGAAATATATTTGTGTTAGTGTGCAGCAAGACTCTTGAATTGCATATTATGGTATTTTATTCCTGCTACAGCATCCTTGCATCACATGCATACGGATCCACTAGCGCAAAGGCATAGAGAAAGGATTGGGAGTTAGTCTCGCGCAACCTCTACTGATCGTCAAATAAAAATGTCTCTGAAAGTTTTGAATAGAATTTGTCAAGCTAACTCTAGTCGGCATTATCCAAAATATATTTGCAGTTGCACCTATTTAATTTCTGATAATGTAATCTATTTCAATATACGTATATATATACATTTCTACTTTTTAGGCCATGACGAATCACGGGCACTTCTTTTGTTTGAAATATGTATAAACCTACGGTACATATTTTAATTAGAAAGAATATTTGCCAACTTTTTTTTGTACACAGTTTTGTAAAGCTGGTTTGTTCGTATATTATCGTAAGGCTTTGTGTCTGGGGTACTTTGAACTTCCAATCCCGATAACAATTTGGAACAATAACTAAGCATGGGCACTTAGACAGCGTCATTGCAGATCTGAATTTTCTCATGAATACAAATTTAATTTAGCGTTATACGTCAAATTTCTCATGTTATCATAGACTTCAATCCAAAATTGCTAGGGAAACCGCGCATTAATTTTGATGACAAGCGATTTCAAGTATCCTATTGAATTCCGAGAAAGACCTGCTACTGATTCCTCCAATATCGAAAACACTTAATTTTCAAAGATTACACAACGTTAGAATGATACTACTAACTTTATTCTTCGTCCATACACGAATCTAAGCATTTGTGACAAGTTGCAACTACGATTGAAACTTAAAATATGTCAGAGAATCGATTCGTGTGTAATTGCCCAAAATAAAGGCACGTTTAAAAGCGACGACTTTGATATCAATATTCATTATATGAACAGATAGAAAAAAATGTCTAGCAGTTGTAAACTTGATTAGATATACATATCTATCAGATATAGATATAAAATTGATCTTGTTCATGTGCGATAAAGTACATTTATTCCTTAGTCCCTTATTAGAAACCATGAGTTTTTGTCTACATATTGCGAATGAGTTTCCTACGCCTCCACAGTGGATGTGGTCTTTAGTTTCTACGATACGCTAGAAAAAACGAAGACACCATACCTGCAACTGTTAGTTCCTCATATGCAATGTAATGATGTTCGGATAATTTTTTTTCGTATTGTGAAACAATTTGCTTGACTGTGTTTAGATGTTCGTTATTTAGCCATTGTCCTTCGTTCAGTACTTCGTCGATGTTCTAGAAAGCATGAATATATTACTACTAATCTAGAATCGACTTCAAAAAACTCACTCATTTATTCTTCACAAGAATGTGTAGCTGAAGTCAGTCAAATATATACATATAACAAAACGCATTCGATTTTTCATAAAATTTGACTTGTCTCAATGCTAACAATTAGTACTTGATAAATATATTCTTCGTGAAAGTAAATTAGTATATATATCAAGGACATTCTATGTTTACATAGATTGTCTAAGATTTCTAGTGCTTGACTAACCAAATATGACAAAACTTTTCTTCTTGCTTCCAAATCAATGTACATCATCATATCAACCAATCCTCGCTTTTCAACATCTTCGGGATACAATCCAGTATTTCTTGTTTGAGATCCATATTTGTTACACAAGTATGTAGCGATTGCACGGCTTAACAAATAATATATAATAATAAAACGGAAATAGGTGTTTTTATATGATTGATGAATGAAAATAAAATATCACAAATTCAGTGAACAACAACAATATGATTTCAATAGACTTTTTGTACGATCAATACAGTTTGGTTACCAAGTTATTCGGTTAATCCTACGTAAGCATACTTTTTTATCAGTATATATAAAATACTATAGAATCTATCACAACTACCAGAACCTACCTTTCAGATAGTACAAAATTGTCATCACGGATAGCGGGAATCCGTTGAGCGGACTTTTTTTGGAAAATACCATTCGATAGTTCTTGATCCACTTTAATATATTTTAAGCCAAGTGCCTCCATAGTGAACTGTACTGGCCAACATTCAGGGTCATTTTGGTTGGTTAAAAATTCCATTGACATTTTTATTCAACAAAATATTCAGAAATACGCCTTAGAAGAACAAATTTACTGCTCTAGAACCAAACAACCAACAATTATTTGTGCTACAATACTTGAAATATTATATGGTCTATATGTGTCCAGGTAGATTGACGTGACGGACGAAGCATTTATCATGAATTCAACGATCAATCATTTAGGTCAATAGTTTACCGTTAGATTAATAGATTGATGACAAGCATGATTGGTTGATAACGTAAGTCATTTACACTTGTGTTTTATAGTCACCGGTCTTGGCATAAGCTGAATTACACTTCATCTTCAGTTTCCCTCTATGACAGAAGTAGCAAATTAATAAAATTATTTTCTTTGTTTTGTACCATGTTATCTTATGACTTTTGACAGACATTTCAGTTCCAATTTTAGATATCTGAGACGTGACTTGAAAATTTCAGACAACATTACGTCAACCTGATTGATGACATCAAGTTCTTAAATTGACTACAAAATGATCACGATGGTCTACAAAAGAAAAATTAGGATGATAAATGAGCTTTGTCTAATGATGTGTAGAATCTACTGCATATATTATTTTGAGTTAATTAATTTTTTTGCAGTTCTGTGTTATTCTTTGTTATGACCATGAGTGAGTAAGTAGTTCACAAGGTCTTTTAATTACTCTCTACTTTCAAATATATAAAAATAAAAGATTGGCCGGCGGATTTTTCCCGCATGCTGAAACTTATTATTAACACGGTGTATTCATTTACTACATTGAAAGCAGTATTGTAATTTTGGTAATAAAATTGAATTTCATTCCCAACATCTTCCGTATAATGTCAGAAATATCTATCTCCAGGCGGAATCGCATGCAAAATCTGTGGGATTATTAGCAGTTCCTTAAAATGGGCAGTATTTTATATGATAATTTTAGGATAATTTTATTAAAATGCAAATGCCAGTTTATTATCTCAAAAGAAGATAATTTTTCTAATAACTTACGTATTGATTTAAAAATAGATCGTGATACCGGAACACTGTACTGGAAATGGATTTTACAACCACATGATTTGAAAGCGGTAATGGGGACCACAATTGTTGAATGTAATAAATGAATGATTTTCTCGTTTTTAAATATAAGGAATATAAATAAATTTTTTCACAATGTCGAAATTCAATGAGTGAAATTTTTATTTGTCTTTCACAAGCTGTAATATTTCCATATGCAGCTTGTGTAATGTTAAAAATGATTGCAATATTAAATGAAGAAATTTACGTTAGCGCTTCTATCTCTAGAGTTGAACTCATAACATGTCATAGATAGAAAAATTCCAATTCCCAACATGACATAGTGGTTACTTTCGATTTGTAATCCCTAATACTAATTGACTCCCACGGGATTTGTGTGTTTGTCAAGTAGATACGTTATAGTTTCCATTCTCGTTCATCGATGGGCTGGACTTAAATTCAGTTTTCAGACGAGTTTATAAATATGCCAAACCAAATACACTCATAGAAAATCTTATGTTGACCGTTAGGATTGGACAACCGCAAAAACAGAAACTCCGAAATGGCCCGATTACCGGTTTCGGGTCCTAATTAAATATAACTTATTGACTTACTCCTAAAAGAGCATGTAGTACACAAATAAGATCCATCTAAATTATGCCAGATGCATTTCAGATCTGGGTCAACACGTTATTTCCCAAGAAAACATGTAAACAAGTTTTTTGATTTGATAATAGTCGGTAAGTATATCATGATTCGACGTTGCAAAGATGTTTCAGTCTGAAAATGAGTAGTACTGCTCCGCAATCAAACTGTAAACTCGGTATTTTATGTAGTAGGTTATTGTTGCTTGATTCAATAGCAATACTGATGTGATTAGTTGAATGAACATTTTTAGAGCATTCTGTTTGTGTATATCCAAGTATTGTTACCGATATTCTTATTCAATTTGTGCTTCCTTGGTTTTAGCAGTTCAAAGACGACGAAGATATTATTCCGCTGAAATTATATATAGATAATTAACGAGCCATTCAATATGAAGAGGCCGGTGTTATTTTTATCTCTGGTCATGTTACTTTGTTCAACCCTTGTCAACTCGATTGGGGTAGATATGGGTACGTGTTCTTGCTTGTGCGGAGTCGACGATGCATCTGGAGGTAGCAGCGTTGTTCTAGGAAAAAGTGGTGCTGTAAGTAAAACATGTATACAAAATATTTTGCAGTGTATAAAGATAAAAATATGAAACTTAAAAAACTTATGACATTGATTTTACTGTAGATATATGTTACGTTTAGAAAGGGTTGTACTTAATTATTTTGTCGTTGATTTCATTTTGAGACTATGAATTCTTGTGACTAAATATGTACGGACAGGCGTGCATGCCTCTTTTGGTAAAAATATTGAATTATAGTGCTGAAGAATAGGTTGATGAAATCGATAAAAACAATACAATTGAAAATTTATAGTAATGAGCCTACACCATTTATTAGACACGAAATGTATCTATAGCCTTTTTTTATAAACTTTTATTTTATTTTCAACATAAGTCAAATCGTAATATAGCACAGTGCATAAAAGTATAAATTTTTATATTTTAGGAAAGCGATTTTTACACCCGGCTTCGCGGCCCGAAGGGAGATCTCGGAAGGCCCGGAAAACCGGGGTCACTGGTAAGAAGTTTTTTTCTATACCAATATATACCGTTACATTTTCCAGCATATAGCGATGCATAAAAATAACTTATGTTCTAACAACAGGGACCTCCAGGACATCAAGGGAATCCTGGTATAAAAGGAGAACCAGGGCGATGTAAGCTAAATACTATTTTCGGTATTTTCTTTTGAATTTAATATTGGCAAAGACCAATTTCTTCTAACAATCGACTTTCTCTAGTTATCATTTCAAAAGAGTTGAACTGGTCGAAAAAAATTATCTGTAATAAACTGACGGAGACCACGTTTCTTCGTGTTTTTATTCTGCTCTTCCCGTAGGTTGTGCATAAACAGCTTGTCGTGCCCAAAGAAATAGCTCAATAGCGCTAGAAGTGTCTGATTTTAAGATGTTATTTATCAAGTGTTTTTATGTTTGCTAACTCAAAGCAAGGTGTTGAGAATTATACTTTGTATAATTATTTTCAGTTCGGGAAGTAGTCATCCCAAACTTTTTCACCCAGAGCTTGTGTTTCGAACTCAAAATTTTACTTCAGGTAATTAACATCCTTTAAATACTCGTGTTTTACCTCCAGCATTCGGAAATGAAGGATCGCGTGCAACACCTTCGGAATCATGTTTCCATTTAAGGGAAAGCGGTCAATCTAGATCTGGAGTCTATACAATACAACCAACGGAATCATCGTCCCCTATCGAGGTACTGGAATTCTAATCCATGCTGCTTTCAGGAATGAAAGAAATTGGCGTTTATCAAATTTATATTGTGTATAGATATACTCAAGTACAATATTATTTTTAATACAGTTTGCAAATCTGAAAAATCTTTTTCTTGGCACTCAGGTTTTCTGTGATATGGAATCGGCGGGTGGAGGATGGACGTTGGTTGCCAGCATTCACGAAAACAACATATACGGAAAATGTACATCTGGTGATCTTTGGTCAAGCGATCAGGGAAAATCTAGTGAAAAATATCCAGGTATGTTACTCAAAACCTTGATCTTTCGGCTACCTGAAATTACCTACATTATTTAATTACACGTGCACGCTTTATATCACTACGTTTAGCATGCGGAACAAACCTTAGTAAGCTTAATTTATAAACAGGAAACGGAAATTGGGAGAATTTCAACACGTTCGGATCCGCTGAAGGAGCTACGAGTGGGGATTACAAGAGTCCTGCATACTATTCGCTACAAGTAAACAAATCCTAAATGTTCAACATAAAGTAAATAGTTGTTATTTTATAACGACTACGAGGACTGCCTTTACAAAATTCCAATTACACGTGTATGGACGTATATACATACTATTTGTGGAACCATTTTATACACGATATTGCTCAGATGTACAGTAAGTACGAGCTGTTGGCCGCCGTACCTTACAACGTTTGATAATCTAATTTTCAACCATTTTTACCCATTTTTTCATTTTATTTTACATTTACTCTTCAATATCCTTCAGGCTTCCGATGTTATGGTATGGCATGTTCCTAACGATGTCGAGATCAGCCAAGCATCTACTGATGCCAAGTTGAAATATTATACAAACACTGGATTTTTAAGAGACTATGGTGGAACATTGCAGTCTATGTACAGCAAACATTTTCCATTGAAAACTGCACCAAAACCAGGTGAAAAAAAATTGTATTTCAACGTTGTTCGTACTTTCGATATATGAAATATCCCATCATATATATATATACTGTATTTCAAAATAAGATGAAAATGAAGGTGAATCATCAATTTCTCGTAACTGACTTTGTGGAGCTATTGATTTAGGTTAGGATAGGATTTACATATTTATCCAGGAAGTGAGGAAATCCGATAAGACGGCTTAATCATATGGCGAACAACGGCCTCTTCCGGTTAGCAGTCCAAGTCGGATATGGGATTAGCTAGCCGGTTATTTGTTAAGCATGGACTTGGTGTTGGAGGCTGCTGCAAGCGACCAGCGGTTACGTGAACTACTACTATACGGCGGCGAGGAGTCCAGCTATCCTCTCTCACATGACTATCCCTGCATGGGATGCAAGGTGCGGTGGCGGGCGCATTTCTAACGCTTTGCACGATGCGCCACTCCGAGCCTAATATATTTTGTTAGTCCTCCAATATGTATTAAACTCATAGGCTATCATTTAAATAGTCCTTCAACATCGCAGTCGGAAATTAGGAGTTTATCTTACATATTTACAACTTTATTTGAAATTTCAAACATGCAATCTGTGGCGTGAATTGTGTGGAGCACGTGGAGGTAAATCCAAGAAAACACTTTTATTTCTCAAAATTTATTTTTAATAGTAAGAGTATAATAAAAATGATCAATTTCAGGGGCCACAATGGAAGGCGTGACAAGCCTAATCGCAGCTCTCAATCAATCTGCAGCTGAAACCAAGCGATTGGTGCCAAATTTCTACGACTACGTTTATGATTTTGATGGAAATGTGCAGAATTATATTAAAGATGGCGGACAGGATATGTTTGACACCGGAAATAAGGTATTGAATAAATAATCTAGCAAAATGTATAGCAATATACTTATTTAGACAATATTATTTGTTAAATAAATGTATGTCAATGACTCAATATGAAAATGAAACTATGAGCTGGAAACCTAAAATTTGTAATTTGTCAAATCAAAGTGTAATTTAAACATTTATTTTTACAATTTATTTTATTTTTATTGCAGTTGTTTTATCGCATTGGAAGCAATCCTGAAACACAAATTACTTACAACACTAATTACAGGTAGGAAAACTCTTTGTACTTACTTTGAAAACCATTAATGCATAAATCTAAAAAATAGATACTTGAGCTGTTTAATTAAGTCAACGTATAAGAAAAACAACGAATCAATAAATCACTGATTTATGTGTGACTATATTCCAGAAACCGAAGCCAAGGTGTCGATTTATTAGCTGCTACATCGCATCCGTTTAATCTTCTCATGTGGATCGGGAATGACGGAGGTGCTGTAGACATGTTCTCGCTCAAGGTATTATCAGGGACTGGTGCCGATGGAGATGGTTCCTCGCGTACACGAGATGGCACAATTACACAAGGAGATTTTACTTTGGTCTATCATGCTTACAGCGTATACGGCGCAAGTGATCCATCTATAAGCGAAGTTTTCTACTACATTACCAATACTAATGTAAGCTTATAGTAGTGCATGGTGGTTTTGTTAATTTTTGTTTTTATATTTTCAACAAATGAGCTTACAATTAAATTTTTGCGTACACTGTTAATACAAGAGAGCTATATATCAAATATATATCATTTTTTAACAATGATAAATTATAAATTGCTACTCTTCTTCATTTTTTTGAAGTGTAGAATATTTATGATAAAGCCCAGAGGTATCTTGCTTCGAATAAAAACAATGTCGATTGAACAGGGAATGCAAAGTTACTACTTCTATTTCATCTAGATTCTAGACGTATTTCTTACTAGATATCACCGATTCTATTTCCAGACCTGGCAGTCACGAGCCCCCACGGCATTTACTAAAAATCCTTGGAGTGGAGGAACCGATTCTTTACAGCATGGTGTTGTAGTTAGCGGCGGTCCAAAGTCAATTCTCATGGGCTACACTCTTTTGTCTCGGTTTGTTATACCTATTAGTTTTAGAAATAGTGTGTTTGTTGCGTTTTTTTAACGCTGAAAATGCTTGGAAAGATGTATTTGGCGAGTATATAAAATTAAAGGTAATATAGATAGTTATTTAAATAGAACAATTGCATAATCTTTCAAGTAGCTAATTATTTCGGATTATATATATACGATATGATTACGCTCGATTATACAATGATTATATCTTGAAAGTTTGAAAAATAAGATGTTGATTCCTTATAATAGAGTGCTTATACCTTTTCTTTCGACCAAACACTTTTTTTAGTGAACACTGACTACTACTAAATTTGACCAGAAATCTGGTATTTTTGGGCAGCTAGTTTTAAACATAGATTAGAATGTTTGCATATTATAAGAGCAACCTATGAAGTTCATATTCATAAATGTTTTTTTAGTATTGAATCCGTCAAGGTAAGTTTAGCTGCTATACGATAACACTTAACAATTTTTTTCCAGTACCAGTGATGGCGAAGTCGATGAATCAAGTATTAGGGCTGTATTGAACAGGACTTTAACAGAAATCAGTAACTTCGGAAAAATCGATGGTACTCATTTGTTTCTTATAACTATTCATATAATTTTTGTATCTGCCAATTTTCTCCACGCTCGGTGCATATTCAACATAGGATATGAATTCTGAAATCATTCTTGGCCATGCAATATGTATCTATATATCTATGTGGCAGCGCATACTGGATTATTTAAAAAAAATTATTGAACTTTGCATAAGGGATAAACTCAGAAATTATTATGGCAAGGAAAATAATAAAATTATTTTATGGCTGTATATTCACAAGAATTATTCAAATTAAAGCTATTCTGATTATTTTTACGCGTATGGCATGAACAGTGTCGTATCGTATGACTTTTTTTCTTTGAAGTACGCAAGCTGTATCGGAAATAACAACAACATGTTTATCCGGCCTTAACATGACCCGTGGTGTTTTTCACGATCCAAATGAAATGACTACACATATTACACAACTCAAGTCATAACATTCAATAGCGCAGTAAAGACACGTAGGGTATTATAAGTTATCCACCGTAGCATTAACAAAAAAAAACTTATAAATTATTGAAAAATTCAATTTTTAAACAATTCAAGCATGCAGTCATCAATTGCTTTGAAACATAAGAAGACATTCAAATAAATCTTGATTTTTCGATTTATAGAATTCAACTGCAGTCGTCTCGAAGAATCGCTAGTACAACCCGTCCTATACCTCCAGGGAAACAACGATGAAGTGCTGAATAAAATCCCACCCGTTGCCAAATCGCAAACGACACCAGGGTTCTTGCAATTCAGAGCCTACAGCCCCACTGGTATTCCCAATGCATTGTGCCCCGGAGTGAAGTGAGTAGAGTCAGATACAGAACTATACTAAATTTCTAAATTTGAATATATAAAAATCCATACACATTTCGTAATAATCAACGAATTAACTTTCAGAACTGAAGCATGCCGGTCTCAATCAGTTTGCATCGGAGGAGTAAACACAATGGCTAACGATGAAAAATCCTGTGGCGATTTTGCAGGTAAGTTTTATACAAATAAAAATTGATTTAAAAACTCTGTCTAGGAAAAAAGTTATTAAAACAGAGTTTGATAAAGAGATAAATACTCGAAAAAAAATTGACGTTTTTAGAAACCAAAATTTGAGATGTAGGGTATGGTATATTTTTTGGCGTAATGAGTAAAAATGAGTAAAATTTCAATGGATTTAATAGTTATTAGTTGTGCATTAATATTTTTGCACTTTTCAAAAGAGTTTGAATTTTTTAAGGATGGGAGGGACTTCCTGGAGATACTCCGACTCAAACAGAACCGGACGGAAGTGCAAGATCGCTTGATGACGTCAATACTTCTGTATTGATTTTTACTAGAAAACAGGCGTAAATTTTTATCGCCCAACAGGAGTGAAATGAAAAACGACTTTTTTAATCTTTTGTCTATTGACAACCTTTCGATAATTTGAGTGTACTTGAATTATGTGTACATGTACTCCATTAATAATTTCATTATTAAAACAGAAAATAAATAATGAAAATAATAAGAATGTGTGTGAAAAGAGTAAGACTTCGAAGAAGCTCTGTCAATCAATTTTTTATACGTTGCAAAAAGGTCAAAAGTGCTAAAACATACACATTCACTACACAAAGTCATTAAATGTCTAAAATGGTATATTGAGTTGCAAAATACTGATCAACGAGACGAAATTTTCGGAAAAAGACACCTCATCATAATTAGTGTCGGCTTTCATTTCAATAGCTGAATCAAATGCAAACCCAATTGAAAGACAATGTGTTTTGTGAAATATCAGTTATTTCGAGTGTTGTATGTATAAGTTACAATTTCCAGAAAACACTAATGACACGACAAAAGCGGAATCCATGTTGCATTATCCGCAGCTGTCGTAAACCCCCTCTGATGATGACTCCCTCCACCCCCTCCCTGACCTGTTGGCACGTGTTAGGATGTCAATGCGAGATAGTATATATATACTGATATTGGGAATGAGTATATATATGTACCTTCTTTTTATTCAATGATTAAAAGTTTTTCAAACTATGTCACAAACATTAACATTAGAAAAATACACTGCAAACATATATTACCGTTCGACAAGATGAACTTTTAATATACTAATATCAAGCTTAGTGATTTTAGTGAAACCTAACAAGTAATACGAACCTTGCAAATTTGAATTGCTCGTATGATTTTATGTATTTTATCGAGAAAGACGATACAAAATAAAACGAGCATGAAATGTGAGCATTTCTAGAACTTTGCTCGACATATTCAAATAAAAAATATTTTTTATTACGTGTTGACTAATTTTTCCTGGAGAAACAACCACAAAGACACGTTATACACGTTGGACAAAATGAACTTTTAATATACCAATATTAAGCTTAGTGATTTTAGTGAAACCTAAAAAGTATTACAAACCTTGCAAATTTGAATAGCTTCTATGATTTTATGTATTTTATCGAGAAAGACGATACAAAATAAAACGAACATGAAATGTGAGCATTTGTTGAAATTCGCTCGACATATTCGAATAGAATTTTTTTTATTACGTGTTTACTAATTCTTCCTGGAGAAACAACCACAAAAACACATTAAAAAAATTCAATAAACTTTGAAGCAAACAGGAAATTACACATTTCTAACTTGATTATTGCTAGACTCTTGCGTTCTTGGTAAAAACGAAGACTGGAAAATATGCATTTATACAAGAGAGAAAACCAAGAGTCTAGTATTTGGAAATTGCAACAGTTTCATGATGTTAAGGAATATATGGAGCCTATATATGGAGATGTTAAGGAATACATGGAGCCTGACGCGTTAAAGTGTCATGTTCCTAATTAAATATACTTCGTATTTGTGGTGTTTATTACATTCAGCATTTAATAGCGAATAAATCTTATTAATAATATTATTTTTTATCACTAGAAAACTTATATAAACTGTTCTTGTTCTTGTTTGACTTACTTCGTCGCAGTATAGGACATTGCTACAACATTTGGTTAATAAAACATTGTCGTTGTACAACGTATTTAATGATTTTATATTTAACGTATATAGTGATTTTTATTTAACGTATATAACGATTTCCCATATTTCAAAATGCTATTTTTTTAATTAAGAGTTATATACAAGTATACAAGTCTTGAAGCTCCAAGTTAGGTGTCAAATTCAAGCAATTTTTTCGAGTAGTAGGCCTACTCTCGAATTAAGTGTAAATTGAATCACTGCTTCTTTGAGCGACGAGTCCAAGTAGATTTGATAAATAACGATGAAACGAATAAAAGTGAGATTCACTGTAAATATGAAAAAAAATCCATCTTGCTTTTATCAAGAAATATCCATATGTTTAGTTGATTTTTATTTCTTTGAATAAAATATTTTTAGGCTTCATGACTCAGGTACCTTCAAGATTTATCAAAATGTCACTCAGATTTGACTCTAGTCGAGTTAAGCTACAGAGCCTCACCAAAACTGTTACTTTTAAACAATTGCTATACTTTCCTAATTTCTGTTTTGAGCTTTTTGTATAAAACTTATAAAATAATATCTCGGAAATTCGATGAAATTAGTTTTCAAAAACAGTAAAACAATAAAACAATATTGAAAATAAAGATTGTAAGTCAGAAAATAGTATAATTAATCACAAAAAACAAGTGTTTTATTCGTATCATGTTATAGTCTGTGATCATCATAGTGGTATTAATATAGTGTAATTTTAACATAACCAAGTTTATTTAAAATTCACAAGAAAGTCACGATGATTTCATTTTTAGCAATCGCAATTTTGAGTGTCAGCAGCTCATTGGCTACTGATGGTGAGTTACATTGTTCTACTTTGAATATTTAATTTAGTCGAAGATTTAGGCTATATAAAACAGTATGCTTTTTCTATCAAGCTGTTATTAAAATTCTATCTTTTTTTTCATTTGTTTTAGGACTGTCAGAAGTTTGTGAATTTGTATCCCCGACGAATCAAGAATTCTGCTACTGGACTGAAGTTCACCAAACTTGGGATACGACGTATGCCCTCGCCCAGGAAATCTGCGAATTGAAAGGATCCAGTCTGGCGGTAATAAGAGATGAAGCAACATATCAGGCAATCATGGGAAATTTGAGAGAGAAAATCCCCGATTATTGGAACACCTTGTACGCATGGATTGGTAATACGTTTAATCCGGAGGTAGGTATAGATTACTAAAACAATCATTAAAATTTTCTCAGTTTTTCTGTTTAAAACCGCAGCTATAAATAAAGTACCTATACGCAATAAAATACGTTGGCTTGTTTTATTAGTGTTGGTGTGACAGTTGTGTTGCTCTATTTTGCTTAATTATATTATAGTAGCCCATAACAAAAAATAAATGTAGACTATATGTATCAAAGTCCCTGATTGAATTTAATGATTTGATGGAGTTCCTTTAAGTTTCACGATATCGTGAATGGTTTTTTTTCTTAATATTTTTTTGATTTATTTGGTTTAGACAAGAACTGTACTTCCTTCTAATTCCTACATCAAATGGTACCCAATAAACGAGCCGAGAACAGAATCCGAATCTTACGACAATTTTTTCTTGCACCTCTACGTACAGCGTGATCCTGAGAGTGAGATGCAAGGGATGGGCAACGTCTATCCAGAGTTTCTGTGGCCAGCTGTAGTTTGCGAATATAAACTGTAAAAGATAATTTTGCTGCATAAGTATTATGAGATATAGATAAGTTATAGATACTTCATTTAAATAAATTAATCAAAATACAAAAATTATAAAGGGAGCGTTTGAAATTTTGAGAACATTGGATGTGGCAAAAACGTGACAAAACGTAACATAGTATATTGAACCAATTGTAGCTAGTAATTTGACTACTTAAACTCAAAATTTTATCAGCAATTTATTCTCCTCCCATATAGAACAAGAGACAAATCTGATGAAATATATTAGCAAATTAATTTAATTCTGCCTATGTTAATTATTAATTTTGTTGGCCTATTTCCATTGTTTAACGATTGCATGCTTTTGATTGTATAAATATACGTACTCTTGAATGTACAGATATAATGTACAGATTTTTTGAATGAAGAAAAAAATATAAATTGGCTAAAAATGTACAATGCCTGTTTGTATTGGGAATGAAACATTGTTGGGGAGAAGTTCTTAACCCCACAGTCTAGTCGAGAGCAGGGGTGTGCAATCTGCGGCCCCGGGCAAAATTTGTTTGGCCCGCGGTCAGATGCCAATTTTGAATGGTGTGCCGCCCGCGAAACGAGTTTTTAATTTAGTTCAATCTGGTACGTGCTAGTAATTCCAATATCTTTGCGTTACAAAGAATATACCTGAGTCAAATTTAGTACTATGCCCATAACATTACAATAACCGACAACTAGGTTGTGCAAGTTAATCACTCGAAGTCATAGTCAGAGCCATATCAATAAGTTGGCTCGAGTCACACCGAATCTTTGATAAATGATAATTCAAATCCAACTCGAGTGAAGACAATGAATAACTTGGTCACCACTGGAACAAAATGTTCGTTTTCCAAATATTGACTGGATTGGAAGCAAGCTCGACTTCATATTAATATAATCTTCTTCGATAGGAAAAATTCACTCCCCTCTGTCCGTCGGTTCTCTTTTAATTCAGCATCATGGCCATTAACAGTTTATAGAGAAATATAATCTATGTTTAATGTTACCATTGATGACCTAACAAGGTACTTGTTAAGGTATCAATGATGCCACCATGGAACCGCCACACGGTGCGCAATTTTAATTTCGATTGTGTCATCACAAAAACCTAATAGGAAAAAATAATCTTCTGAAGCTCCTATGCAACCCACGCATTCTTATCTCTGGCCTAGACTACCCATACAAGACGGGAAATGCATGTATCCAACATGAATCTTATATCCCCAACAGGTCACTAGGTTGGTTTTAGTTTCTGGTCAAAAATGACATTTGTAATTTTGTTTCTTGAAAATTATGGTGAAGAAGCTGGCTTTTTCAAAGTGGACATTCAATTAGTGAACACATTAGCTTTGATCAAAGCAACTTTGCTAGAACGCGTCATTTAAGTTCCATTTGCTTGTGCAATATCGCGATACTCTAGCCTCGAGTTGGCCAATCCATGAAGTGGAAAATAACACGAACTGACCATTTCTTTGTTTTTGGCCTTGGTCCTGTAGCTACTGTAAAATGAAAACGTTTATTTTTTAGATTCTCTTTATATTCACGTTTTACACCAGAACACACATTGGTATTTTACAAAGATGGATCTTTCTACCATATTCCAGCTCGTACCCCATCACTCAAACGAGAAACGGAACAAACGAGTACCGGCAGATATGTAAAAACCTTTTGTTGGAGAAGTCATTTATTTGTTGAATAATAGCTTTCGGTCGCGGCGTTACATTTGTAGGTCTACCATTTATTCAACAAATGAAAAATTTGCCTAACAAAAGGCTTTTACAAATCTTCTCTCTGGGAGACCGATATTGCTAGGATACAGCCATGCCGTTGCTATTCGTTTGTGTTGTTTTTCGTTTGTTTCTCTGGGTCTTCTTTATAGATGGAACAGAAACAAGAATCCTTTAGTTTGGTAGAAACCTATCGGATATAATAACAACTATGCTTCGTGTCAACTTTGTTATATGTAGCAATTAGAATATGGCAATTTGCACAATGCATACTAGTAATAATCAATATGATACATAATGCAATTGCTTTTAATGTAATGTGATGACTTACGTATTGGCCACAAGTTCAGGGCTAAACAGGTTATGAAAAATGTCAATCCAGTCACTCCTCGGAAGTGCAAGGGAAGATATATTCAATTTCCGACTGGAATACTATTGTCTCTTTATTGCGTTTTCAAGAAAAAATTGTAATAATGAACCTATTTTACTATATCAAACTCTGAAATTGATTTTTCATATTCTCTGCCTATAATAATATAAGTCAACAACATTTTGGTAGAGTAAGTCATGTCACTGATACAAACTGTGTTCAGTGCGGTCGGCGAAGCAGTTGGAGAACTCAGTGGAAAGAACAGAAATATAAGTGAATTGGAGACTGAAAATGATCGAAAGCAAAATGAGATAAATAATTTGAAGAGAAATCTGGCAGGAAAACAAAGTGAGATACAGAATTTGGAAATAAACTTGGGACAAAAACAAAGTGAGATTGGAAGTCTGCAAATTGCATTGGATAATGCGATGGAGAAAAACAAACTACAGCAAAAAGGCTTGGAAAAAACCTATAAAGCCAACGGCTTTGTCAAAGCATGTTGTTGTTGCTGCCTCAAAAAATCGAGGGTTGCTGTAGTTCCACGTTGATACGGAACTAAGTCAAAGGGTCATTTATCACTATACAGGCAATTTAATAAATAGAGTTTATCTTATTTTTATCCCAATATTGTATTAATTACTCAGATTTGTAATTAAAAACCGAATGTCTCGGTTTATATATTTGTTAATTTTTCGCTTGGCAAACATGTTTTATTTTAATATCGTTACAATTGTCATCATACATTACATTTCATGAATTGAAAAACAATTTTGTTACGTTGACTGTATGCACTTATCACCTTTAATTCAATAAATGTGATTTTACCATTTCATAATTATATATATACAGTTATATTTCTTGATTTTGTTAAATTACGAATAAATACTATGTTTGTAACACAATGTCTGAAATTCTGCCCTGAAGAAACAGTGCTGATGTCGTGTTTAATTGAGTTTTATGATGTTCACAAGAATTTTATTTTATTTTGATTCTTGAAAGTTTTCACGCTTTGAAATGAAGTCTGACGTCAATGCAAAGGTCACTTTATCAATATATCTAGGTAATTTGATGAAGCACCCTATTGTGCGACTTATTATCAATGGACTAGGAGAAGTTATGTCAGGATTGAATTGCTAAACACGTTTAAAGTTTCCAAATTTTTTCATCAGTATTCGTATAGTGCAAAATCCTTTAATCATATTCTATTTCATATAGGCGTAATACGAATATATTTATTATGAGCATTAACAAAAACAAATAAAGATAACGTACAATAGTCTTACACATTCTCATTAATTCGATAAAAAAATCTATCTCAGATTGTAAATGGTCTTTTTCAAATTATTTACTACTAGTCTCTGTTTTATTAAGAGTTTGCTGCAATCAAACGAATATATTTTTGTCAAAAAACATATGACTTCAAAACAAAATTATATAACACATCACGTTGAATTTTCTGATCATGGAACAAGTTTAAATTATTAAGGTTTTATAAACTCGATTTTGTAGTATTTGTATAAATATATAAAAACACATTATTATAGGTTTCTGCATTATTGTACACAAGACTAATGTAAGACACGCTAATTATTCTTGGCTTGGAGAATCCGCGGCTCCGCAACATTTGCATGGACACATCTTACCAAAACATCCCATTTTACAATTGTTTGAAGGGCACTTACAACAGCCTGTGTTGCAACAGTTATCAGGCAGTTTACAACAACTGCAACAATCATTTTTGGGGCAAAATTCACAGCAACAACATTGTTTCCTATCAGTTTCTCCTGTTTCTTCATCATTCTCAGCATTGCCTTCTTCACCATTCTTTAAACTTTGCTTTTCATGGTCAATCTCGTCGATCTTAACTCTTTGTACGAAACAGCAGCAAGTTTTTTTTATGAATCCGCGGATTTTCATCGATTTTCGTAAAGTAGATTGCAGTTGTTCGATTTCTTCTATTTGTCTTTCATATTTTTCTTTCAAGTCACTTAGTTCTTTCGCTGCTCCCGACATTTGCTCCACCATGCCGGCAGCTAAAAATCCAGCTGCGTCAATAACTAAATCAGCCATTATTTAAATTATATTTTAACTAAAGTAATAAATTCTCTAATTCACTAATGGAACAAATTGCAACTGATTTTTTGAATAACTAGAAGTCATTTTCAACTTTTTTTGTTTGTGTGTTCTATGGGATCAGAAACCCAAACAAACGCATCAAATAAGATGCACACTAAAACGTCTTTGTTGTGATAAAAATATTTGGTCAAAAAGTACTCCATCAACAACAAACATATTTTCAAACAAAACACTGTTTTTCATTGTTGAAAGATATTTTATATTATCCTCACTTCCTTATCAATTGGTGAAGCTTATTTACCAATATCCTTCATTTCAAAAAATACTCGTCGTTGAGGCAATATATGGAAGACAAAGCGACAACAAAGCTAACTGATACATTCTAGTTTTTGCAGAAAACTGCTGCAATTATTTCGGAACATTCAGATGTACTAAACTGTTTCATATGTTTTTTCTTTTGATATTATCAGAATGATTAAGCAATAATCGTTGTGATTCACAAAGTATAATAAATATGTGAGGCGGAAATAAAGAACGTTGCGTAATAATATATACTTATATATATATGTATATATATATACTTGAAATTAGTAATATTAATGATTTTGCATCTCCTGAACCAGATAGGTACTTGATGGACATAGTCCATTTGGTAAAAATTTGGACTATTTGAAAAAAATAAAGTCTTGTCTTGTCGTCTCGATCAATGAATCTAATCGGTGTAAGAATGTATTTCGAAACATACGGTTTTGCTTTTTGAGGATAAATACTGCCATGGTTTTAATTGAATAAAACACGAATTGTGTTATAATTATCTATCTATCCTACAACTGTAAGCTACATTATCTTTTAATGTATGAACAACAGTAACAAAGCGAATAAAATATGATTAGAATGACGTTATGTATTTACGTTTATACTCATGATGCATGTGAATATGATTATCGTAATGTTATCATCGCTAGATTGAATATTATTATATATGTGTAATAATTACTTGACAGTTGCAAATATGTTTTGCTGTTATATTCTATGAAGTGAGATCGACGCATTTTAGTTTAACGCTGAAGTATGTGCAAATTATAGAATTTTTTTTCATAATCCGAATTAACTCAGATTGATTTAAAATTGAGTTGATAGATGAATTTACATAATTTAAGATTTGGAGAAATATGTTACACCCAGTTGATTCTAATTACTGCAAAAGATCTGAGTGTAAACGAATCAGCTCATATATTATGATTTCTTGA